ATGCAATTTATAGGGATGTGGAGTGGAGGAGGAGGGTGCACGGCAAGGGGGTCTATCCCACAGACTATTAAGGCTATATGGGATTTTCTCGGGCCGGGGGAGGGGAAGTGTGGGCGGGGATTTAAAAGACTCCCTCGGCACCGTGACACGAACTTGTGACTATTTTAAATCCATTATCTCATATATCAGGTTGCCGTGTAGGCGGGGTAGCCGAATGGGCTAACGCGTGTGCACAGCACCACCGTTGCCCGGCAACCTGATATATGACAAATGTTATAAAAATAGTCACGAGTTCGCGTCCCGGTGCCAAGGCGTCTTTTAAATCCCCGCCCACACCCCCTGGCCCGGGAAAACCCGGTATAGCCTTAACGGCAAGGAAGGAGAGGACAAAAAAAAAAGTTTCAGGTTGCCTGGCAAGGGCGGTGCCCTGCACACACGTTAGCCCGTTCGGCCACCCCGCCCAAGATGGCACAATTCGCGCCATACAACCTTCTTCTGGGCATCCCTGATCCTCAGCACAGGCGGATTTACGGGGAGGGGCCTTTCGGGCTGAAGCCCCTCCCTCAAACGGTAAAATTTGACCATGTTTTATGGAAAAAATGTTAAAATATTATCTCTTAAAGTATTATTGTACGTGTAATTACATTTAATAGGACTTCAAGAATCACTTAAATACCATTCCATGTACGTAGTTAGTATTTTTTTTTTCCAAAATAATTATCGTTACATACATGAAAAAAATTTGGTGCGCGCAACACACAACTTTCACTTACCGCTCAACTTTGAATAAAAATTATTTTCTGGTCATGTTGGGCCAGATAAATAAAACAGATTACTAAAATTTTTGAATTACATTTTTAACCGAGTAAAGCTTATACCCAACAAATCATAAAAGCAATTATAATACCAAAGTCAAAATTATTATATCATCAGTTGATTATGGATTGTAGGACTATTAGTTATTAAACGGTTATTTTCCATTGCAAAGTTTACTTTTTTTTTTTTATTTTAATAGAATCTACAACTGTATTACATAGAAAATAAGTAAATGTGAAATTGGTAACGTGACATGTACAACATGAAGAGAAACTACCCATTGGTAGAACTCAAACAAAGTTTACTAAAATAGAACTAAGATATTTGCGTTGTCTGTCATAGACAGCTCAAAAATTGTCACACTGATTGTAAATGGATACTGTTGGAATATCACAAAGGAAAATTCATCAAATTATTCACTAATTTAATGTTCTAAAAGGTTACATCATGATTTTTCGGAATAAACGGACGATTGATACCTAATTATTTAAATACAATATCAGATATAGAATTATTAAACTACATCAAATATTTTTATATTTCACTTCTTCTTTCACACAAGTACAATGAAATAGTATCTTAAACAGCGTCATTGCCTTGAATCCGTGGATTTTAAATACTTTGTCAAACTTTTCATTTTTTTTTTTTTTTTTTTTTTCAATTTTTTTTTCAAAAGACACCAACGTTTTTAAGGAGAATAAGAAGCAGACAGGAGTAAAAAATAAAGTTCCACTACCTTTATTTTTCATGAACCTAGAGCCATCACATGGTATCCAGAAAATATATGAAATCAAGAGATTGCACTACATTATCGTGAAGATAGAGAAGCCATCTATACCCCAAGAGGTATCACCTCATCCCTCCTGTAAAAAAATCCTTATGTAACTCCCGTCAAACACATACCTATTTTCCTTTGGAACACGAATGGTGTTAGAAATCACGTCGACGAATTTACAGCTTTACTGCTTGATAAAAGATTTAAAAATTTCACTCATCCCTACAATCCTCCTTGAAGGTTGAAGCGGTAGTGGGCCAGACATCTTTTGTAGTATATATCTTGGAGTTCTTTCTGGCAATGGCCAGATTCTCCACTCAAGACATGAGTGTATGTGGCTAAAGCGCTTTCGCTCAATCTCCACTGGCTTTAGCACCAGAGACGCGGTTGCGAGAGTAGCGCAGGGATCTCTTGGAGTCCTGCATATCCTCTATAGTTGGAGTGACAAGCCGGATTTGTGGTTCTCTGCCTGATTGTATATGATGTATATAGGTATGACTGTGTTTTTATATTTTTAATTTACTGTGTTTAGGTTATTTTATTTTTTATCGTACATAGTTATTGATTATTATTTTACTTTTCTTAATTTTATGATCTCTGTATATATGGTGCGGATGTGTTCATATCTCACTATAATTATTGTTCACGTGACAGATTATTATATTTCTAAAAAAATTTTTTTTTTTCACTTTTCGCCTCTCTAACATGGCGTTGCGTTAAAAAACAATTTTGAATAATAGCTCATTACAAAGAGGATGAAAAAATGAAAATTTCCCTCGCTAACAATATGCAGGTCCGATCTCCAGCCGACTTTACCCGAGCGTTACACATCGGAGATATGACGGCTCAATCTAATTTACTCTCCACAAAGAATGGCAAAACGCGACTGCAGAAGTTTTCACTTCAAAAAGGCATGGTTTTTCCTCATAACTACAATGAGAAGAACGTAATGAAATCCTTAGCTTCAATAATTGTGCAAAATGTTGCTTGAAAAATTAATGATACTGGTAAGTATTAATGATAAGTGGGAAGCTGGTACTGGTAATAGTGGGGGAACCTAGTCCGGCAAGTAGGCCTTGTGGTCCTTTTTTGCCAACCACTGACGTCTATCTTGAGGTTACCGCTGCGTTCTTACCCCAGCTTATTAAGAGAACTTACCCCAGAGTGTCAAGATTCATTTTCTAGGGTCGCCGACAAATAAATATTTGTGGGGAATCGAACCAACATCGTTCAGAACCAGGCACTCTGGGACCTAAAGCGCTCAATCACCTCTTTATTTAAAAGTCTGCATAAACAAGAAAAACTCAGAATCTTTAAATTACATACCTTGATATCTTATGAATAAAAGTGTTAAAACTTCACATATAACCATTTTTAAAATAATACAAAATCGGAAATAGGTGAAGAAAATAATGTAAATCGTGTTTAAGTTGGACATGTCTGAATATTATAACATTATGTGTTTCATGTCCACATTCATTCCCCTAAATACCACTTTGTGCTATTGTATATTTTTTGGTGCCAGCATATGCCTCCTTTCTTTAAAATGAAAGGTTTATCTTCATATTTACTGGTAGACCCAGTTTATATTTAAAATCTGAAGAAGTATTGAGAATCAGATGTTGTATAATCAATTGTAGTTTCGTGACGAAAAGTAATTATTGTATTGATAATTCGAAAAAAGACCAGCACTATAATTTGTATAATCTTGATCATGATTAACCAAAATTGAAAAATCGTTAAATTTTGAGTTACGTCAACTATCTTCGGAAACAGTGATATATAGAAGTAAGTTATACATTAAGAGTACATATATATTAGAAGTAGCTTATATATTTATAAAGTTATAAAGAAAATCTGGAATCTATTCTTAAAAGAGTCACATATAACTCATCATCTTTTTTTTTTTCTAATTTATTGCCAAATATAATAACTAATCCCGGTTACTTAAGTTGATCCTACTATAACGGTTGTTTAGTAATAATGAGAATGTTTTTCGTTAAATTAATTCGTCATCAACAGTTGTTTTAGAGTACAAAAGTTCTGTGCTTTGAAAGGCTAATCGGTCATCTAGAGTAGTGGTCTCCAAACTACAGCCTTTCACTCCGGCCCGCTGGAATCTGAATATTCAGCAAGGGGACAAGCTGACTGTTGCAGCCCCTATTTTCATCATATAACACTATTAATTTTATTTGTACAAAACATCAAAATACAGGAACGATTATTTTTACTTTAACTAAAATTAAAATTTAGTCTCAATTTGAATTCTGCTGCTCGTGAAAAGTGCGCACTTTGCGCCTCCCCTCTCCCAGTTCCGGCATTGGCAACACTGATTATTGTCTACTCAGTACAGGGTTTCCACTTTAGAGAGAAAGTTCTTTTTTAGTGAATTTCAATGGTTGGGAGGGGAAAAATTAATCATAGCTTAATCTGAGCCAAAGTCTAATCATTCAAACAGTGCTAAGTGAACAACATAAAAAAAAAAAAAAAATTAACGTAATGATTTACAAATTATTTTAATATTTATTTATTTTTGTAAATTTCATTTTGTTTCGAACTTGGATCTAGTCATAATAATGTTTTTCTCCTTATCTTTACTAATGGTAGGAATATCAAATCCTTTCAAAAGCTTATTTTGCATTTGCAATGTTTATAGAATGTCATCCAATACTTCATAAAAATATATGTACATTCATACACTTTTCATTAAACTTTAAATTAATCTTTAAAAAACCTTCTAATTTAAGGTACTCATTTTAATTCTTGCTATTAACTTAGAAGAAAATGAAAAAGGGTTTTAAAATTTATAGATTCAGCTCATAAGCAAAGCTCTGATCTAATTTCACTAAAGAAACAATAACATTGAGCATATAACAATATGAATTTGAAAGGAGCAAGAGTACGACTTTAATATACGAATATTTGTCATTGACAAGCGGCAACACTGCTAAGTAGCTGTTGGTCTGTCGTTAGATTTCTTAATGGTTAATTGAACATCCTTGGTTAGACTGGATTACGACTTCCTTATTATTATTATAAAATGTGGATACCATGCGAATAGAGTAGGGCACTGTTTGGATAGTTATTTATTTTGTCAATTGTATTATGTAAAATATCAAGTTCTGAATCGACCCTGGTGGCTGGAGACCCTCCAGGAACACACCCAGCCTCTGTAAAGTGGGTTTCTAATGAGAAAACCTAGCAGTTCAGCATGGTCTTGGTCATATCACCTTGCACAACTGTTGACCAATAAACTGGATGTAATGGTACAGGTAAAAAAGTAGTTTTTTAACTATAGCAAATTTATTGAGTTACTAAGATTCCATAATCTAAATCCACCATATTTTCTAAAGGAATTTGTAGTATTTTAATACCTTTTATGGCTAAATGTTACTTTTTTCTTTTTCAGAATGCTGGCAGTTGGTTTTGGTGTACTGTTTATTGTTTTACTGTTGTTAATACTAATGTGGATTAGTTCAATGAACAGACATTGGGAAAAAAAGGGAATTAAATTCTCTAAACCATTTCCTTTGCTTGGCAATTGCCTGCCAATGATTCTTAGCAAAAAAAGTTTCACAGATATCATTGATGACTTATATAATGCACATCCTAATGAATTGGTCATTGGGTAAGTTGAGAAAGTTTAAGGGACTTGATTGAGACAAATCACAGGTGGGTCAAGATCACATGATCATACTGTAGTTAAAATTTTGAAAGTAGCCAAGTAATGACGATTATCAGGAGTTATTTGAGGTTATTATGAGGCATGGAAACCTTTACACTCAACTAACCTGCAGTGGCTCCTTTTCTGTTGAGCTGAAGGTCTTTCCAAGTCAAGGGTTTTTATTTGGATAGATCATTTTCAATTCACCATCATATAATTCATACCACTACATCAGTTTTTTCCTTATATTTACAGACCCGCTCTTTTACTATTCAAGATTCTGTCTGTCTGTGATTAATGTGATCTTAAACTACCTGTCAACTAGACCTGCCTTTCCCGAACTCGTATCAAATTTAATTTTTTTTAATTTATTTAAAAATGTCAAAAAATATTGCTTACAATATTACTTGAAATTAATAATTATTTTTGTTACTCATGGTGTTTATGTTAAAGGTATTATGAATTCGTATCCCCAAAGCTTATTGTAAGAGATCTTGAATTGGCAAGAAAAGTCTTAATTAAGGATTTCAGTTATTTTGTTGATCATGTATCAGAAATGGATAATGTTGCATGGGATTCTCAGCTTTTTATGTTGTCAGGAAATAAATGGAAAGCTCTGAGGTATGTTTTTAAAAAATAACTATATATTGATAAATGTTTTACTTATTTAAAATATACATAGTTTAGATCATCTATGGCAGTAGCAGATCGAAAATTTAATTTTGGAGGGACTTGTTTTTTTTTTTCATAACTGTAATTAAAGTAGAAGAAAAAGAAAGAACTGTATTTAATAATGTTTAAGTGGTCTTGTATAACTGTAAAAAAAAACAATCACATTAGAATGTCATGTATAAGTCTGGATTTCAGTCTACTGTATGACATCGGAGTTCCTATATTGGAAAATACTGCACCTTTAACTGTTGGTAATTGAGAACTGTTTACAGAAAAATAATAAATAAAAATAAAAAGTTTAGAAAAATAATGCTTTTATGGATAAAGCTTTTATATATTTTTTTCTTGACACTTGCTTACTTTTATTAGCTGAAATACATGCATTATAATTTTAAAAGAGTAGATTTTTTGATCGTGTAAGTATTTAGCTCGAATCATTCTCTGAGTTGATTGAAAAAAATTAATTTTTCCTTATCATCCTAAGCACTATTTATTGCTGAATTGGTAATTGGTAACTAATTAGTAGTAAGTCGAGTATGACCAAGCTAAGCGACATGAGGGTTATGTGTTTGGATTGTCTGCTAAAAGCTATGTAATGCTTTTTTTTTTTTGCGAATGACTGAATTAATTTTTAAGTTTGATACATCAAATTATTCAGTGAGATCCTCTGAGTGTTTTGGAACGATTCGAGCTAAAACCACTGACTCATGATTGAATAAAATGTGCTTAATTAATTTTCTATGAAGTATGCAATGATTTTTTGAGTGGGTGGCATAAGCAATTTTTGAGCTTGATGTCTTAAATTATTTGGTGAGATCCTGTAAGTGTTTTGAAAGAATTTGAGCTCAAAATTCTGTCAAATGATTGAGTCAAGTGTTTTTAATCAATCTGCTAAAAGATATTTAAAGATTTTTTGGGTGGATAGCTTGACCGATTTTTAATTTTGACGACAATAATTACTCAGTGAGATCCCTTGAATGTTTTGAAACAAATCAGACACAAAATATTTTTAAAAAATTGTTATAGTTTAAATATCTCAATCATTAATGGATTTGAACTAATATTCTGTGTTATGAAAATAAATTGTTAATACTTTAAAATTTAAAAAAATTTTCAAATAAAAATTTTTAATAAAAAACTGACTATGAAAATATCTCTATCTGTCGTAAGAGATGGAACATGATATACACTAAATAAAAATATAAATGGGTTGTTTGTTAGTTTCTACGAATATTGCAACTTGTTGAAGTGATCGGGTGCCTTCCATGACACATTAGAGCTGTTTCTGTTCCATGCATCTATGCATGTCAATAGATTTTTTTTTTTATCAAACTATCAAATGGTTTTCAATGAAACTATAAGTGTATGTTATGGCTTCCCATTTGTTAAGGTACCAATTTTAAATAATCTTCAATTTGTAATTATGAGAAATAACTCTTAAGTGGCATAGTTCAATAAGATTAATGAATAACCATGAAATATAGAAATGGGGGTATATCTTGGATGAATTTAACTCCAGGTCTTGTTGATCTTCGTGTATAAGTTGACATTAGTATAAGATGTTAGAGGTTTTTAAAAAACTAAAGAAATGGAAAATATCCACTCATGATTAAAACTATTTTATTTTAACAAACTTGTCAGATACTGAATGATTGAAAGTTCTTTAACATGGCTCATGGTACGGTGATCTGGTCTTGCCTGTGATGCTCCAGTAGGTTGGTAGGTCTCTCATATAGTGTCACGAAAGTATCTCTTTCACAGGTCTCATCCTGAATTCCACTCTTCTATCTCATGACAACATCCCTCTTCAGTGCTTCTCCCTCTCTGTCTTTTTTTTTAGAAATTGTTCTTGAATTAGTTTTTTGACTGATTGAATTAAATTATAAATTATTCATTTATCAGCATTTATATTTAGAAATAATTTGTTCACTATAACAATCATTTAATAAGTTTGTGTCCAACAATTGTTGTCAGTAACACTCATGTATACTGTCACCTGCCACGGATTGGTCTCAGCTCCTTTGTTCTTGCACCAATGGTCTTTATATGCACATTTTACAATCTCTGTATAACAACCTGTTCACTTTACAATTGTGTCAAATCCGTTGTGTACTCAAGCCATCCCTATGAAATTGCTCATTATTCCTTCAATTAAGGTCACACATACTACCTTACATCCCCTCCCTCCAACATGGTAATGTGACTTCAAAACTTATGGAGTGAAACATCCACTACTCATTTCTGATGCTAAGCATTTAATTATGCACCTAGTAGGAAACGATGCCCTTAAGAATCAAGGAAGGATTTGACTTAGGAATCAGAAATGGATATTTTTAAGTTTCAGTTGTGATGTATTTCGTTACTACAGGGAGTTAGATTAATTAAAAGACAGTTAAGGGGAGAAAGTGATGAGAGCCACAGGCGGATCTATGGGGAGGGCTTTCGGGCTGAAGCCCCCCAAAACGGTAAAATATAACCATGTTTTATAGAAAAAAATATTAAAAACTATCTCTTAAAGTATTATTATACGAGTGATTACATTTAATAGAACTTCAAGAATCATTTAAACACTATTTCATGTAGGTAGTTAATTTCTTTCTTTTTTTCAAATTAATTATTGTTATATATGTATGAAGAAAAATTCTTTCGGGCTGAAGCCCTCCCAAAATTAAATCCTGGATCCACCAGTGATGAGAGCAGTGCCATCATGTGATGATCTGGAGTAACACTTACAACTATGTAGAATGGTATAATTTTTGTAGGAAGGACAGATATCCAACTAGTCTTAAATGAATTTTCATTAATTGCAATAATTTTATTATTAATTATATTAATTCTATAGGCTTCAAATGGCATCAATTTTCACCACAGGGAAATTAAGAACAATGTATGACTCAATGCCAGATATAGGAAAGAATTTATTGCAACACCTTGATAATAAGGTTGGAAATGATATTGATATTCATGAATTAATGATCTTATTTTCTATGGATATGATTGGGTAAGCTAAAATTTATTCATTTATTTTTACAATATGTTAAAACTGGTCATTTGATTTTTTTTTACTCTGTTTATTTCTCTATTTCTTCATTAAAAAAAAAAAGAAAAGGAAATCGTAGCTTATATAACACTGTTAGGGTTCTGTCTAATGATAAACGTCCAAGACAACTTAGCCTATAGCATGCGCAAGCTGGTGCAACCTCTTTGGATCGAGAGATGTTGCTTTTTAGTGCTAGCACAATTGTTTAATATACTACATTGTTTTTCTTGGTTCACTAGTTAATGAACATTAGTTATCGTTATTAGTGGCCTGCATGCAGTGTAGTGAGCGCTCACAGATTACAGTAGTTTTAATTTACAAGTTTATATTCAGAGTTAGCTATTGTAAAGCATTTTTTTCAGTAGTGTACAAATTTTACTTAGTTTTAGTCAATTTCTTGCTTTCTTATTTGTTTCTATATTATTGCATGTGCATTCAGAGGTATGTTTTCATTTTCTAATTTTGTTTATACCATAACGTTTTATTTATTAAAGTTTTTTTTTTGTATGTAGTTTTTATTGAACGTACCCTCAGAATCCTTAAAACACTATTGAATTAATTTTATTTATCTTGTAATAATGTGTTATTTATACTTTTATTCATGCTAACCAATTTCAGGTCAACTGCTTTTGGCATTGATGTTGGAAGTCTAAATAATCCTAACTCAGAAATTATGCAAATGGGGAAGAAAATAATCGATGTCGGCTTTCTATCTGTGATGCATTTTTGGCTGTACCTGCTGTATCCAAAATTAGGAAATAAAATTGGAATACCTCATGTCTATAGAGAAGTGAACAATTATTACAGTGAGATACTTAAAAATACCATTAACTATAGAAAAGCCAATAAAATACAAAGAAATGATTTTATTGAAATGATGATTCAGCTAAGAGAAAAAGGAAAACTTGAGCTGAAAAATCTAGATCCAGCTAATGATTATCTAACAAGTGAATTAGTTTTGAACTCACCTGAAATGTTAAGTAAGTTGAAATTGAATAGATGGAAATACATTTTACAAATCTATTAAATGTATCATATTTAAACCAGTCAATCAATTATGAATCAATTAAACTGAAATAAAAATGGTCCAAAGTCATAATGGAGCTAGAACACGAAATTAATGTTTGTCTTCTTTTAATGAAAATCTGTGGTTTCACTTTAAGTATTAAGTGAAATTTTACGAGTTGGTTTGATTTTACGATTAAATGATGAATGATTAAATTTTAATAGAAGATTTTATATTTCATTTTTAATTGATAAATTAGTTTTCATAACTTGTTTTATAAATTACTTCTATTTGAATTTATGATTTTTTTGATTTTTTTATTAAGATATCACAGACGATCTACTTATGGCACAAGCTCATGCTGTTTTAACTGCTGGTTTTGAATCTACTTCCCTTTTATTGACTTACACTATGGTTGAATTATGTAAAAATACTGATATACAGGATATTGCTAGGAGAGAAATAATGTTACAAGTCAAACTAAATGGTGGCCTTACATATGACGCATTAAAGAATATGAAGTATCTGGATCAAGTAATTAAAGGTAATGTTTAACTCTGTTATAAAAAGAAATATTTATGTTTAATCATTGGCAAGGCAATAATAAATAGATGGATTTGTTGTCCACGAACTGATTTCTTAAGTTTTCCAGCCAAATTTTATGTTACATTCTAACTAATGTTTTATAAACGCCCACCATCAGTGGAGAAGATGTGTGTTGTCTACGTAAAAGAAAAAACAAACTCCTTGAATCTATAGTGACATAATTAATAATAATTTTTATATTAGCTGTGTGTATAATATAAAATTAAGAATTTTTTTTTAAACGAAATAATACTGTTATCTATTCTCCGGCAGCCCTCTTTGCAATTAAAAATAAAATAATAAGGGGTTTTCCATGCCCAAAAAATAAAATGATAAATAACTTATTCCTTGTTGTTTACATTCTATTTTATAGGAAAAATGATATAGGTAATTACAGAGAAAAAAACAAAAACCTTCATATGTTACAGTTACCAGTTACACAGACTAAAAAATATATACAATCAAATTAAGTATTAAGCTGTAACTAAATTAACAGAGAAAAACTTCTAAAATCTGTACAGATCAATGCAATATTTTTATCACAGATCATCGCCATTGAGATCTTTGGTTTCTGATGTGGTCTTCTTAATGAAATCTATTGCTCAAAGGAGCACAAGTGTCATAGGTGTGGTCGCTCAACCCATGTTACTGTGAACTATGGTTTCCATGGCTCAACAGAAGGCTGCATATAACATCCAAATTCAAGTATAAATTAATCAGCATAGTTACACGTACTATAGCCATTCAGGTTCAGCAGGCACATAAGGATATATATTTTCCCATTGGTCCAATGGATTAGTTAATGTACAACACACTGGGGATGTTTATTATTTATTGATAAATGTTAAGATATCTTATAGTTTTTAACATCTTCCACAGTTTACACAGGTTTTCTGTGTACTCTCCCTTATTTTTCCCTGTGTAGTATATAGTGGCTTTTGGGATACTGTTATAACTAGAAGTTAGGAATTTTCTAAGCTATTCTACATCATTATTTATTCACTATTCTTTTTTATTATTTTTTTATTATTACTATTTGGATTGTCTAGTTTTTTTTTTAAAAGTGTAAATATTAATCCTTTATTATTATTTGTTTAGAAAAAACAAAATAGATGTTATAAAATAATTTTCACTACTGCCATAAATTTCTTGCATTTCAGAAACTCAAAGGTTTTATCCTTTCACACCTGTTCTCATGAGAATATGTACCAAAGATTATACATTAGCTGATGGTTATGTTTTAAAAAAAGGAGATCCATTGTACATTCCTGTGGCATCCATTCACAAAGATCCTAGTATTTTTCCAGAGCCAGACTCATTCAAACCTGAAAGATTTGAAGACTCTCAACAACCAACAGCTTTTATGGCATTCGGAGCTGGACCAAGAATGTGTATAGGTTTGTTAATTTTAATAAAAACTCATTTAAGTCTGCTGTTTTATTTTTTAAAAGCCATTTCATAACATGGCAATAAATAATAAAAGAAGTTGATTAGGGTGCAGTCAGAGGTAACAGTACACACAAATAGAAAGTTTTATTTGGACAACTGTTGGTTGGTTGGTTGTGTAGTAAAGGCGTAGAACCTGTTGGTCATCAACGCCGTTATATATTATATATCTTGGTTATAAATATTAAGAATTGGATAAGATTTTTAAAAAATGTAAAGATTAGAAGTTGTTCTTTGTTATTAAATTTTATTTATTTAAAGTTTGTACGTTAGGTAAAAAAGAAAAAGGAAAAAAAAAAAAGTGGTAAGAGGAAAAAAAGAGGTGGGGAGTGCTTCGTGAGAGGTTCAGATATTTTTTAAGATTCCTTCTTCGGAGAGAAAAAATATGATTTTGTCTATGATTTTTTCATCATTTCCCAAAGCAGCCGGTGTATTTACTGGTATTCCCCTTATGTTTAATTGTCTAATGTAAAAGGCACAACTCTCGAAGGTATGGACTACTGTCATTCTCTCTCCACACTTCTGACAAATTGGCGGGTTTTCTTTCGTAAGTAAGTGAAGGTGCATAAGCCTGGTATGACCTATTCTTAGTTGCGTAAGCACAACTTCCTCTCTGCGCTTCCTGCGACTGGAACTGCTCCATGGCTTCACTTCCTTTTTTATCGCTTTTAATTTATTTGGAGGGCCATTATCCCATAACGTCTGCCAATCCTGGTGTATGTCCTCTTTCAGGGATCGCGCCAGTTCGCAGTAAAGAAGGTTTTACCACGTTCTAGAAGGGTAAGAGCTTCTTTTGCTGCTCTGTCAGCCATTTCGTTACCACCAATGCCTACATGACCAGGGGACCATAAAAAATGTACCGATATTCCAATGTTACTTAGCTGTTTTATGAGCTCCAAAATAGTATATATTCCTATGTGGTCTGGATACATGTTATTCATGGCTTTAAGGGCATTCAAAGAATCTGACACCACAACCACATTTGCAACTGGCGACTTTATCACATGTCGAAGAGCCATCGCGATGGCATTAATCTCAGCAGTATATATGGAACAAAGTGGATGTAGTTTACATTTATAGGTAGAATCAGGTGTGACGAAGGCGGATGCTGTTGATGTGTCCGATTTAGAACCGTCGGTAAATATTAGTAAGTGTTCTGGCAGAGAGCTAATTGTTTTATGGAATAATTCTTTATATTTTGCAGGTTCTGTATTTTCTTTTTTAAATTTGGAGAGCAGTAGATTTAATTTAGGCTGTATAAAAGTCCAAGAGGGTATTTCATTTTGAATTATATTTAAGTTGATCTGATTCAACTTACATATTGCAAACATCATCCTTTCTGCTAGTGGCAGTGTTGCATTATTCTTTTGTTGGAATTTTGTAGAAAATTTTGATTCAAAAATGTATTTGTAGGCAGGGTGTGTGGTTTGTGGGTACAGCTTTGTTATGTAATTTGTTAGTTATGTCTTCTGAAAAGGAGAGGTGGTAGGCCTGAATCGACGCAGAGACTAAGAGTTGGACTAGTCCTGAAGGCTCCAGTAGCGAGGCATATTCCAGTGTGGTGCACTGAGTCAAGCTTGGCAAGACTACTTTTACGAGCGGAGCCGTAAACAAAACTGCCATAATCTACCTTAGAACCTATCAATGCTTGGTACACTTTTAGCATTGTATTCCTGTCTGCTCCCCACTTTGTTCCACTTAGTACCGTTAACATCTTAAGCTTTTTTGAGCAATTTTCTCAATGACTTGGTGTGAGGTTCCCAAGACAGACGTCTATCTAACAACAATCCCAAGAATCTACAGTTATGATAGTTTAACATCTCCAAGATAAAGGTCTGGTGATTGTAGTGTTTTCTGTTTCCTGCTGAAGTGTACACATTTTGTTTTGACGGTGGAAAATTGCAATCCTGATGATTTAGACAACTGTCAATTCGATATATTGCATCTTGGAGTTTCTTTTTAATATATGGGATATCTTTTCCTCTGTGTTGTATTGCAAAATTGTCGACAAATAGCATAACTTTAACTCCACTTGGTAGATTTAATTCGAGGTCGCTGATGGCCAAGGCGAATAGTGTTGTACTTAGGACAAATCCTTGTGGTACCCCACTCATCTGTTCATATTTTATGGACAATAATGTTCCAATTCGGAAGCGAAAAGAGCGATGAGAAAGAAATTCTTGGATGAATTCTGGAAGACTACCTCTAAATCTTAGTGAATGGAGCTTTCGCAGAATTATATATTTATTGGTTTTATCAAAGGCTTTGTGCATATCGAAGAAAACAGCAACTGCTTCTTCTTCTTGAACAAAGGCATATTGTAATTCAGCCTTCAGTTGGACTAGATGGTCTATTGTTGATCTCCCTTTGCGAAATCCACATTGAAAGTTTTAAATCAGCTGGTATTTTTCTAGGATCCACATGTGCCTCTTATTCACCATTCGCTCCATTACTTTACATAGGCAGCTGGTCAGAAAAATTGGTCGATAGTTGGATGGATGGGACTTATCTTGATTTGATTTTTAAATCGGTACCACTATAGATTGGTTCCAGTTGGTAGGGAAGTTACCGCTGATCCTGATGTGGTTGTAAAAGGCCAATAGCCACCTCAATGTGGTTTCTGGAAGGTGTTGTAACATGGCATAATATATGTTATCTGGCCCAGGTAAAGATCCTTTAACGTCCTGCAATATTGATTTTAGTTCCCAAATAGTAAATGGAGTGTTGTAGTCTTGAAATAGCTCAGTGGTGGAGAAGTCCAATTGCTGAGCTGTGCTATGTATAAAGAATCCTTCAGTATATACTTGAGAGTAATATTCAGCGAATTGTCTGCTTATTATATCTGGATTATCAAACAACTTCCCTTCCGATATCAGGGTATATCTGCAAGTAGAGCTTGTTCCCCTTATTTTCTTAATTCTGTCCCATACTACCTTGCAAGGAGTAGAAGAATTAATGGACTCAATGAATGATATTCAGGATTCTTTTTTTGTATTATTTATTATTCTTCTACATATAGCCTTTTGTTTTTTATATTCTATGAGGTTCCTCAGATTCATATTCTTTTTAAATTTCTTAAGTGCCTTTCTTCAGAGTCGTATAGCATTTTTAACATCCTTATTAAACCAAGGAACAGGTGGCCTTCTGAAAAATCCCTTGGTTTTTGGAATTGATACCTCCGCTGCTGTTAGTATAGCTTCAGTTATATATTTACAGCCATCATCTATGGTCATACTATTTGGAGGAGTTTGAGGCGGGTCAGCTAAAGAAGTGAATAGAGACCAATCTGCTTTTTCTAATATCCAGCGAGGAACGCTGTAATTATGGCAGTACAGATGTACTGAAGTACAGTTGTACTTCTGAATTTATGACAGATTGGAAAATGATCACTGCTATATGATTCCAGTAGAGCTGTCCAATCTATAATATCTATCAGTGAGTTGCTGCAAATAGAGAGATCTATTGATGAAAATGTAGCAAAGCTTAAACTTAGATATGTTGCTTCTCCGGAATTCAGTAACAAAGTACCGGTTGAATCTAAAAAAATTTTTATTATTTGACCTCTAGAGTTCGTATCTTGTGAGCCCCATAATGGATTATGGCCATTGAAATCTCCAGTGTATAAAACAGGCTATGGATATACATAAGGTGTTCGTCCTCTATGGTATTGTCTTGAGGTAGATAGATGTTGCAGACTGTAAAAGTGGTGTTTAAATGAATTCTAACAGCTATAACTTGAAGCGGAGAGTCTATTTCTACTAGGTGGTAATAAACTGCCTCTTTTACGGCTATAGCCACGCCTCTACATGCTCGCTCATAATCTGGACCACAATCTGTTCTATAGATATTGAAGCCTTTAAGGGTGAATTGATCTGAAAGCTTTAGATGCGTTTCTTGGAGGCATATACAAAATGGGTTTTCATCTTCCATTATTAGTTTCAAATCGTTAATACCATTGCAATTCCACTGGATAAGAGTCATGATTTAGGTATGGTGTAGTCTAGGAATATTTTTGGAGATGCTATTTGAAATTGAGATTAATAATAATAACTGAGTGAAGGTGATAGTTCAGTTTTCAGATAGTTTATCTATTATTTGTTTTATTTGGAGATTTTTTTCGGGGCCTTCCTTTTTTCTTTTGTAAAGTATATCCTTCATCATCTGTACCATTTTCGATAGATTGATCATCTGTAGGTGCAGCGGGATCAGAAGTGGAGGATAGGGGAATCGAAAGGGAGGTAAAGGAGAGAGAGGAAGAGGTGAGGGGAAGGGTAGAGGTAAGGGTGGAAGAGTTGGCGGGGGGGGGGGGGATAGAGGAGAGGGAGGAAGAGGTGGTGGGAAGAGTAAGGTTGAGGGAGGAGGTGGCGGCGGGGAATGTGGAAGAGGAGGTCGGAAGGATTGCAGCCTGAGGAAGCGCGGGACTACCTACTTTGTTTTGGTGTGATCGAGCAGTCTCTCGATCAGAAATGGTTGGTGTGGCCTGGGCCTCGCTAAAATGAGCTTTATTCTCGTTAATTTTGTTATGTATCTCTGTGGCCGAGCTGAATTTATTTGTCTGTGAATTTTTTAAAAGTTTCTTGAAAAGAATATAAAATATTAGCCTGAATGGCTAAATCTTTTGCGTTATTTTGATTTCTGGTTATTTCCGCAAATGTTCTATTAAACTGGGTGGGATTTTTTTCTCTATAAATGTTTTTTGCTTCGAATAGTGATATTTTATTATTAATTTGAATAGCTTTAATTTCTTTTTGTATTATGAACGTGGTACAGGAGCGATCTAAAGCATTGTGGAGGCCATTACAATTTATGCATCTAGCCAGGAAATTGCATCTTATATTTTCTCCATGTCTTTCCTGGCCACATTGTACGCATACTGAAACTTTTTATTTAAAGAATCAATAATTTGAACATTGTTCGGTACTACTTCACTAGCAGGCTGGGTCGAAACCTCTCTTCTTATTCCGCTAAACCTTTCAGTTAATACATTGTTTATTTTTCAGTTATTCCCTTATTACGTTCACTTATTAAATTCATTATTTTTGGCCTGTTTGTGTTCATTTTTTAAAATTTTTAATTATGAATCTTGTTACATTCTGGGATTTACCATCTTCAGGACAGGCTATTGAATATTTTCAAAACGTTAGGATACTTGCCAAACAACACCTTGATTCATATTTATGCGAATTGTTGTGACGACAGGTTCCTCACTATTTTAAATAGCATAAAACTATTTTGCCTACCAAAATAAATAAGACGAAGTGAAAATAGATTGTACATATGTTGTTTATAGTGTTAATATTTTTTCTTTTATATGTACATATATTCTGTAAGTGTTTTTTTGTTATTTCATTTTCATCTTTTATATCTACATATGTTCTTTAAGTGTTTTTTTTATTATTTCATTTTGATCTTTTACATGTACTATTATATCTTCTTTAAGTGTTTTATTATTATTTCATTAATATATGTGTTCCTAAAATAAAAGTATTTGTTTTTGTTATTACATTTATTTTTGTTTCTGTTTACACTTTCAATAATACGAATATAATACAATAATACGAAGATAGGAATTACGAGAAGGCTTATCACTGCCTTATCGGAATTATCAGTGTTCGGGTTATAAACATTGGCAGATAGCAGTCAGTCCCGGCCTGCTAGTGAAGAAGTACCAATTGTTCATTATCTGATTTCATTAAATAATTTCTAATGGTACTGTTATTTTTGTCGGACATCATCTTGCTAAGCACTTAAATGCTAATTTTTCAATACTTCATTGTAAATAGCCTGTTCAAGTTTAAATGTAAATAACTTGTTTTGGCGGGAATCGCGAATAGCCTTCCGCTTTTATATCGGGGAACTAGGTTATTTACACTCGTGATTATTAAAACAAAACCCCGGCACTGGATATAGACTTTTTGAGGGTGTTTAACTGTCAATGGCAATTCGGGAATTTAATACCTTTTGTGACATTGAGTGACAAGAAACAATAAGAATATATATATATATAATGTGGGACTTGATATATATATAATGTGGGCCCTTGATTATGTCCATGATTATATAAAAGATTACTAAATTTCCTACAAAAGGGAAAAATATCTTCGAAATCGTACAATAATATTAGAAAAAATATAGTGTACTGAAATTTGTAAAAACATGTTGGTTATTAAACATTAATGAAGTTTTAAATTAATTTTTGTTTCCTTTCGTTGATTATATTTAGCGAGGAAGTAACAATTGATTTCTCTATCTTATGATATGTTGCATTACTTTTCTTTTATTTTTAATTTGTCATTTAATCACTGATCGATATACTTTGATAGGATATACTTCGGACCTACTAGTATTAAATTAATAGGTGTTTTGTTTACTGAACACTTGTATAGTAGTCTCATGTATTATTTCTCTGAAAATATTTTTTTTTTAGTGTTCATTGTCTCCATTTCAATGATGATAAGATGCGTACCAAATTCCAAATCTTTGAATGCCCATTTAGTATTATTATTATTATTATTTTTTTTTTTTTTCAGCGGTGAAGTATACATTACTTATAATGAAATATGGCTTGGCTCTGCTCTTGATGAATTATGAAGTAAAACTTTCTCCATTGACTAAGCTTCCAATCAAGTTTACCAACAAGAAATTTGGAAATTGTGAAACTGAGAAAATATTGTTTAGTTTTGAAAAATTGGTTAAAGAACATTGAACCTACTATTTAATATGTGATCACTAGGATCCGGATCTGAAGATCTAAATTCTCCCATGAATAGATTGTAAAATTCAATTTTTTGATTTAAAAAAGATCTTAAACCATTTATTAAAAATTGTATATTGTAAACCATACCATAGTATTTGTAGAGTTTAAACATGAAAAACTGATGGAACAGAAAAATAACTGACTTTGTAACTAACAATACAGCAGTGTAAACAGCGTTGAGTTGTGGTAAAAGTCATTGAGGTATTTCTACGTAGATAAATTTAGAGCTTCAAAAATAGAAAATTATGTAAAATTTAATAAGTAATAAAAATTTCAATAATAGTGGATTGATGAGTGACTGCGGTGAATAATTGAAGAAACGTTGGTTAGTTTGTTCAGTCAAAAATAAATAAGTGATATTTATTTTCATTTTTGCCGACATTTTGGCCTAATGTTCAGGCCTTTATCAGGGTTGAACTTCATAATATATCATTTATAAATAAATATCATGTATTTATTTTTGACTGAACACCTCAACGAACTTCTCTTCAATAAAAATTTCCATTTTATAACAAACGTAATAATAAATATTCTTGTTTGAATGTATCTTTTAAGTCGACAACCCACCTCTTTTAACTACTTAATGTCTTTTCATAACTTTACTTTTAAGTGAAATTTTTTTTTTATTAATTTAAATCTTTTTTTTTATTACAAACTTGCAAAAAACATAAAGAAATATCCTATAAGATTTTGTATTTGAAATCCACAACTCAAGATCGGTGTAGATCTGTTGAGAACTATTTTTTCCCTTAAATGAAAAAAAAAAAGGAGAAATGCTAAAAATCCGGGCTCTACTGATCACTGAGTGGCAACATGTATGTAGTAATAGTATTTATTCATGTGCTTACATATATGTTTTCTTGCGCTTATTAGATGATTATTATGGTAATTTGTGTATGAAAAAATTGTAATTTGTAATGTTTTGGTTATTTAATGAAACTTTTGTATTTATTATACCATTTCAAACTAAATATTTATAGAAACTTTCTTGGTCCCACAAGCCCAGAGGTGAATTTCTAATTCTACTCTCTTATTCAAATCCATTTCATCTGAGGTACTGTCACTTTAAATCTGAAATGCTGAAGATTTCAAGGGTTTTCTTTCTCACCTCAATGTCAATTATCAAGAAATGATTTTCTAGACAAATATGAATTTATTCAGATAAAAATAGAGTACTTAGTAAAATCGTTTTTAATATTGTAAAAATGAAACTTCATAGTTTTCATTTTGTAAGATCATTTTTAACTGTTTTAAAATATTAGTATGATGATATCTTTACAGCATCATTTATAGAACTGCTGAATAGGCAAATATCTAATTTGTAAGTAATAAATCATTCATTCAATTGATTGTTAATCATACATTGTAATATAAGAAATTTTATTAGAATAAATGAATTAATGATGTATTTATTTATAATTTATTGATTTTTTTTACCTTTTTGAAGATGCGAGTTTTCATTAAAACCCACGGTCTTATTGACTTAGTTGAAAATTTAAATATTATTTGGTCAATGTTCTCCAATATTAATGTCACTGATACATCTTGTTTTCTTTGTAAATTAATAAAACACAAATATACTTTCAAATTAAAAAAGTTGTTTTAAAAAATTATATTTAAATTCTTTCAAACACTTCAAAATAACAAAACAGCAGCTGTGCTACAGAAGCCTAAAAGAACGATTTTATTGGAAGCTACGGTTTTGAGATTATATGGACAATCTTGGCGTCATCATTTTTCAATAATACAAACCAAACAAGTTATTTGAATCATTACATCTTTGTCTTTAACGTGCAATAAAAAATGTATATGCAGGTTTTTGTCTCCTTGGTATTTCTAGTTTTGTACTATCAGACTTTTGCAACATGGCTGTCAAAATATTAAAATAAGTATCTAAAATGTTTTTATCAGTTGTAGACAGAAAAAATAGAATAAATAAATTCTAAAACCGCTTAATTCAATTATAACAACTTTAAAAGGCATTAAAAAAATTTTCTGGTTTGTTGATAGTGGTCTTATAATTTATAGCATATTTCAACCATGAAAAAAAGTTTTAGAAACTATCTATGACATATGCCTAGTAACCACTTGATCAGGCATGAAGAAATTAAACTAGTTTTCTAGTTACCTGAACCATAGTGTAAAATTCATCAATTTAGTCCAGACAGAATAATTATTCCAATAAATAATTACAAGTGCAAGTCAAATAAATGTATAGATGATAACATCTTACTCACATTATCTGAAGATATTATTTACCGTAAACAATGAAATATAATGTTTTTTTTAGTTTAATCAATACAAATTATTAGTAATATTAATTGAAAAATTATGATAGTAAAATATATATATATATTGTAATATACACCTTTATTGGAAGTTGGTAAAAATAGTTCAATAAATTGATATAACAGTTAAACTGCTCAGTAATTTTCCTAGAAGGAAAATCCCAAAGAGGTGAGGAACAAAGGTTTTTGTTTTGGCAATCAGTTGATGTTTAGCTGAAAAAAAAAAAAAAGAGGTAGGAGAAGGGATCCTGGCTCCAGTGGGAAAAACCCAGTAATAGTGTTACCAATTTGGAAGAGTTGTTTGGCAGAACTTTGGAAAGTGTTTGAAGGCAAATGAATTCAGTGCCACAAAGGAAGAAACATATAATATAGAAAAAGGTTAGCTTGCCAATCCATATTTGACTTTATTTTAAAACCAATCAGTGTTTAATTTTAGTGTAAATAATAATAGTTTGTCTGAGTTGAACTGATTGTCAGTAACACACACCTTAGATAAATAAATATATTATTTCTCTTATAATTTTGTTTATTATTAAACAACTTCTTATTTATTTAGGAAGTATCCCAATGGTAAGAAGTGAGCTTCCATGAGGTCATATTATTATTTGTACAATATAAGAGGTTACAATATATATTGTAATATATATTGTACAATATATGTGTGAACAGGTAAAAAAAAAAAAAAAAATGTAAGATTGTTGGAAATACATGATAAATGTAAATGATTCTAAAAATGAAAATTTGTGCAATTTAAACCTAAGTGCAATTTGAAATCACATCTATCATTGACTGCTTTATCACTTATTAATGAATTTTTTTTCTGTGGCACCAACTGAGACTCAATATAATTTAGATATACTATAAATTATTGAAGTAATAAATGTCTAGTAGAGTTTTATCTGATAGTGAAGCCTATAAGCTAGTATGTGTCAATATCAGACTTCCTGGTTATGTACATTTAAATAATGTAGTCATTTAAATTTATAATAGTTTTATCTATTTATTACAATAATTAAATAATATTAATTAATTTAAAAGGGAAATGAGAGCTTACATAATAATACAAAATTGTTGAAATTTTGGAAACAATAGATTGATGATTCATTTTCATACTTCTTCTTATTATTATCTATTAAATATAGAATTACTAACAACTTTTGTCTGTTGATATATATATGTAAATTTTAGATGTTTATGCTATTGATATGGATTTCTTACAAATTTCTTCAATTCTAACCTTCAAAATAGTCAGATAAAATTTAAAATTTGATAAGATAATGCAAGTTGTCAGGAATTCAATTAGCATTAGGAGAGTGTATGGACAACAAATTTTGTTATGTAAGTATTTTCTTGTATACAATTTTGATTCCTTTTATAACATTTCTTATAAAAGCATTTACCATATTACATGAAATATAAGTTCTTACTTTTCAACTGTTCACAAGAAAAAAACTTCAATATAAAATAAAAAATAATTAGGATGAAATTAAGTACGATGTGTAAAAATCAGTTAGTTATTTCTACATAATTTTATAAAGATGTCAAATGTATATTCAGTGAATATACATATAGTGAGTATATGTATATTCACTAATAAATCTTTGTTCATAAATCAAACTTAAAAAATTATTTATTAGAACTTCACGAATTGGTGCAATAATTTTAGTAAGTTTTTGTACATTTCTTTCTTGTATAAAATATATGGTTTTTGGTTCATGTTCTAATTGTGATTTTTAAATATGATTTCAGAAGAAAAATGTTTTCTCTTATTCTTTTATCATTTACGCTGTTGATTTCTTCTCTTATTTTTATTTTAATAAAATGGGCAGAGGAACGAAACAAGTTTTGGTCCAAACGTAACATAAATTTTCTAAAGCCAAAATTGTTTATTGGAAACCTTTATGAAGTAAGTTATTTATTATATTTGTGTTATGATATTTATTATTTGATAACTATTTGTTCATCATATTTATGTTTAAATTGTTATTTTAACGAAGAATGATAGTAACTGAATGTTTCTTACTAATGCATGTTTATCATTTTTACCGAATTTTCTTTTTAATTTCTGTATTTTAATTTTTAGTTAAATATTCTGAAAGGTTAAATTTTGAGGCTTATTAATGATAGTAAAAAGTTTTGTCGAACAGTATTCAACATTTATTTTTATTTTTTTATGAGCTTGCAGGAAATTATTATCTTTAAATTCTTATTTTTAATTGATATTTGCTATTTTATCAACTTGAATCGAACTTGATATTAATTTCCATCATTTTATAGATCACCTTAACTTTAATAATAGATGGTATTTTATATGATTTGTTATGTTATGTCTTATAACCCTGAAGCCAGAGCCCAAAAATAGACATAGTCACATGCGCCTTCGCTTATGATCTTTTGTTGTACTTTGGAATGTAAATTACGAAAGTGTATGTTATTTTAAGTAAAATGAACATTGTCTGCCATTCCAGAACCACTGCTTTCAAAAATGGCGGCTGATTTAAAGAACATTATGCCAGTAATTTGGGAATCAAAACAGAAAATGTATTGCAAAATATGTGAGAAAAGTTGTCATTTTTTAAACTTGTGCATATGGGTTCAAAAAACAAAAACAAAAACATTATTGCTATCATCACCAACCAAGGGAAAACTTTTTAAAGCTATATTTTTTTTTAAATCTTTTTTTTGTTTTTTCACCTCACTCATTTGTTTTTTCAAATCACTCATAACGAAAACGTTCCTGAATTTTTCAAAGAGTACATAACGTAACATTTTCCACTAAATGAGTACCTAAACATAATAATGTGGTTCAGTGGTATGGTAGAAAACCATGGTTAATGAACGCTAATTTTCACCAAATTTGTCAAAAACTGAGACAAATTACTACAAATGGCCCTGTAGCTTGGAAATATGTCCCCTAAGCGGAAAAATTCATAGACTCAAAGTTATAGATCATCAAATTTTGCGTCCAGTGAGTACTGAAATTTTTAAGGTAGATCAATTATGTTTCTCAAATTGGGATTTTTTATTTCTTCATGAAATTTGGTTTCTTTCGAGGCATCATTTCTCAAAACCCTTCGCTGCTGAGAGGTGTAAATGAGGCCTGTACTATATATAGTATAGTATATAAAATACAACAGTTGGATGCCTAAATAATAATAATTACCATTAAAATAAAGATTAAATGTTTTTAAACTTTTATATTTGGATAGTAAATATTATGGAAATGCCTGGCTGCCTCTAGGCCAAATATTTGTATAAACTATGATCCCCAGATCTTACTGCTTGTGACTTCTTCCTGTAGGTATACATCAAGGACGGAATTTATGTCCTCCTACAACCCACTACTGAATGGCCTAGAAGTTTGGTCAACTCAGTGCATCGTGTTACTGCAACAAATTAGGAAGAAATTCTTCTATTACCTTGTTGCCTTCCCTGCTGTGGGTGGTGGTCATATTCAATAAACTACTAGTCCTATAAACAATTGTAATTTTACATTCCTACTTGTTACAGAAAATATAGCTCAATTTATTATTTTTTTTTAAAACCCTCAGGTTTAGTGTATCTTAATTAGTCTTTAACCCTTCAAAGAACAGTGACCATATTTGCGCCATTTATCTACAAGATGAAATATGGTGTTCAAAACAGTTGTAGGTTTCATTATTAGTGAAAAATGTGTAATTTAGTTGACAATTGATTCGGTTATTTCAGAAACAACACATACAATGTTTTCCTCAATTTTGAAAACCACACTAAAAATTATTTCATGAAAATTTCCATACATAGGTGCTGCATAAAATATATAGCACAAACAATCAATCTTTTCACTATTTATGTAAAGTATTTTCTTGTATTAAAATATAGACAAGTCCCAACTCAAAACCTATTCAAATTATACACCTGCTGTTTCTGAAAATCTCAATTGTTGTAAATTGCTCTAACTATTGGTAATTATCTAGTTCGCTAAAATAATGTTGGTAATGTTATATCAATATTGGTAATTTGATGAAGGAAAAGTATTATGGTTAAAATAATTGTTTCCTCCTTCTTAGTCAAGAGGTTTCTTTAGAGCCAACTATCATTTTTCCCTTCAGAGGGCTTAATCCGACCTAAAGTCATTTAGAGTCCATCTGTGAGCAGATGGTTGTTAGTTATCTCTTTTTATTTATTTATTTATTTTTGTTGTAGGTGTTATGGGGACGCAAAAATATGTCGGAAGCTCATCAAGCAGTGTATAATGCCTTTCCATTGGATGATGTAGTTGGCTTCTATGACTTTGTGTTCCCTCGTTTAATTATCCGCAATCCAGAATTGGTGGAGAAAGTTCTGAAAAATGACTTTTCTCATTTTGTAGACAGAGCAGCACCTGCTAAACATGTAAAAGATCCTTTGTCATTGAATTTGTTTAGTATGTGTGGAAACCAGTGGAGATTATACAGGTAACTGTAGATTCTCTTTTATTTTAAAGAGTAATTTAAGTTTTTGTTTTTATTTTTAAATTCTGTTTAAGTTTCTCGTGGCACTGATTCAATCTAAGTCTTCTTAAATCTTGGATAAATACCAATAATTTGGAAGGAGGGAAGGATAGATTGATTTGAGAGTCATCTGTATAAACGTGATGGGAACAATGAAGGATTGATTCATGTAGGTTATTAATATAGAAGCTGAGAAGAGGAAATATGCTTCAACCCTGGATAACTCCAGTGAATAAAGAAAGAGTGGTTGGGTACGCTGAGGGAGGAAATATTGGAACCAAGAGATGGAACTGTTGGAGAAGGATAATGGATTGTTAAAAAGGAGAGAATGGGTAATGGAATCGAAGGCTATGGAGAATTCAAGAAATATAAGGACAGTTAACTTTTTATCATTTATTGCAGTGTGAATATCACCGATAATTTTAATTAAAGTAGATTGTGTGGAGTAGACCAGATTGGATAGGATCAAGTTGGTTTAACTCTACAAAGGAATTGGAAACTTGGGATCACAACATCTTTCTAATGGTTTTGAGAGATTGAAAGAGAATTGAGATTGGGCAGAAATCTTGGTGAGAGGATGGGTTAGACTTTTTATTTAAAGGAAGGACAATAGCTTTTTTACAAGAGGTAAGAAGTACTAAATTCTGAAGAGAAAAATTGTAGACAAATAGGAGAACTGAAAGGATCTCAGGGACTTAATTTTATTATTTTGACAGGAATACCATCTGATCCTATGGTATTAATGTGTGATTTCATTACAGCGGTTAAAAGGTCTGTGCTGGAAATGTAGGAAAAATGTAAGTTTTCCTTAAATGATATCTCTGGAGATAAAATGTAAACTGTGCCTGTGATGTTAGCTCGCTAGACATCATTGCCTGTCCCAAGCCCGGTTAAAGCAGAAGGGTTGAGCGAAGAGCTTCCACCCTTCCTCATGAAACAATGCTGTTTAAAGAAACCTTTAACTATCCAACTCTTATGGAAATGATGCAGGATAATATTAACTACCACAGAGGTACCCCGATCGGATTTAGAAATTCCCACCTACGTCAACCCTAAGGCTATGATGAGAGGGCTCAGAATAGTCAGCACTAAATTCCTCCACAAACAAATCCACAGAAAAACCTGGATAACTCGAGATGGTTTGACTGCAAACCAGATAGACCACATCCTCATAGACAAAAGGCATGTATCACATGTTACAGTTGTACAAAGTTACCATGGAGCCGAATGCAGTAGTGACCATTACCTTGTAATCGGAAGGTGCAAACAGAGACTAGCAATAGCCCAGAAGCAAAATACCCAAAAGATGACTAGAACTTCCAATGTAGAAACTCTAAAAGATGATTGGGTCAGGCAGGAATATAGAGAAAGACTCCAAACACACTTAAAAGAAACGGCTTTGAAAGATAAAACAAACAGAGAAGAGATGGGGTTCAGTGAAAAAAACCTTGAAGAAAGCTTCTGAAACTCTAGTAGTCCTACAGAGGAGGACCAGAAAAACTTATGAGGAGTTTGTGAATCTGAGGAAAGTAGCTAAGAATCTGTGTAGGAAAAAAATAAGAGCTGCAGAAAACAAAAGGATGGAGGAGCTTGGCCAAGCATATGAGAAGAAAGAGAGCAGGAAGTTCTACAAAGGCATGAAAAAAATTAGAACTGGCTTTAGAGACCATGCAAACTACATCTCAGATGAGAAGGGAAATGTTATTGCAGATGTAGCAGGAATTCTCGATAGATGGGCCCAATACTACAAGAAGGAACTAAATGGATCTACTCCATGTGTACTGACCCTGGAAGGTGAAGAAACAAGAGAAGAAATAAAAGATGAAGAAGTACCACCAGACAGAGAAGAAATTACAGAAATCTTAATGGGTCTCAAAAGATAATGAAGCAGACGGCATTGATGGCTTTCTCAGCGAACTCCTGAAGTATGGTAGTAGAGATCTATGGGAAAAGCTGTACCACATATTGTGGGACATATCGATATATGAAAAGATGCCAAGTGAGTGGTTGGAAGCTATAATATGCCTGATATATAAAAAGAAAGACAAGCTTCAGTGTGACAATTACAAGGCTATATCTCTCCTGAACACAGCATACAAAGTACTGTCAATTGCTTTATCCCGAAGAGTGAGCAAATGGGCGGAAGAAACGACTGGTGAATACCAAAGTGGTTTTAGGCCAGGAAGATCCACAACTGATCACCTCTTCTCGTTTAGGCAACTCCTAGAAAAGTCGTATGAATGAATGTGACACTTCACCACCTATTTATAGACTTTAAGCAGGCGTACGACAGCATTGATTGCTAATGGCTTTGGACAAAATGAACATGCCCTAAAAGCTTATAAGACTTATTAAAATGATGCTGAATGAAAGTAAATGGAGAGTGAAATTCCATTTGCAAATGTCTAATGTATTCAAAGTGGATCGTGGGCTACCTCAATAAGATCCTCTTTCCCCCGTACTTTTTAACCTAGCCTTAGAATATGCTACTAGAAAAATTAAAGCAAAGCCAGAAAGAAACATTTATAACAGATTAACCCAACATATGGCCTATGCGATATTGAGAAGATCGGTACCGGCACTAGCAGGAGCACTAGAAGAGTTTGAAACAGTTGCTAATAAATTTAGCCTGGTTATAAATAAAGAAAAAATGAAATGCCTGGAGACCACTAGAGATGGTATTTTCAAGGAAGAAGAGGTTAAGATAGCGGAGCACCACTTCACAGGACCTTCAAGTATCTCTGTGGAATTGTCATGAGATAAAAATAAATGACACAGGACATAAAGGCTCAAGGTGCTGCTGGGAATACGTGTCTAGTCTATATGCAATGTGCTCTAACATATTTTATAAAAATCTCTCAAGAAAAGCTAAGGTATTGCTTTATAAGACTATAATTAAACCCACAGTAACTAACAGCAGTGAAATCAGGATTATGACAGCAGCTAACGAGAAAAGAGGAAAGACATGGGATAGAAGAATTCTAAGAAGGATATTTGGCCCTGTGTAGAAGGAAAATGGGTTTAGAGCGAGAACGAACTCAGAGCTGAAAGAACTATTCCCGGAAGCGGACATAGTTAATGTCACAAAGGATAGAAGATTGGGCTGGCTCGGACACGTTGAAAGATTGCCTAGGCAAATATTGCACGGTCATCCTGGTGACTCATGAAGGAGAGGTAAGCATTGTAAATGATGGCTGGACAACGTGGGAGAGAACCTCTGCCAGTTGAACATCAGGCGATGGCGAACAAAAGCGAAGGATAAAGTAGAATGGAGCAGGATATTGGAGGAGGCTTTGGTTCTTAATGGACCCTAACACCATGCAGTAAGTAAGTAAATAAGGAGAAAAGCCAGAAGAGGAGGGTATTAGCAAGAGAAATAAAATGTGAGTCTCTATCATTGTGTGATACAGGAAAGGCTAATGAGGGAGTGAATTTAGAAGCTTCAAAAAGGAAAAGTATACAAAGAAGTAGCCATTTTGATTTGATATCAAGAGCTGAGGAAAGTAGGTAAGTGCTTCATGAAAATAGGTAGATTTTGGTCACCAATTTTTGTTTATGTGCATTGTACTTATATTTGTGTGTTGTAAATTATTCAATAATCATGCATAAAAGTTTGAAAGCGCTTATAATAATGGAACTTTTATATTTAAAGTAAATAATTTTGATGATATTTTATAACTTTGTATTGAAGATGTGATTATTTTCATTTTTTTTTTTTTTTGTAGGCAAAAACTAAGCCCTGGTTTTACAACTGGCAAGCTAAAGAATATGTTTGATCCTTTATCAGTATGTGGAAAAAACATGTTATCACTTATGGAATCTCATGTTGGAAAAGAAGCAGATATGAAAGAAATCATGGAATTATTTTCAATGGATGTAATAGGGTAAGTAAAATGGATTCCATTGTCAGTATTACATATTATTGTTAATTAAAGTACTTTAAGTAGTTCAGGTATTCATAGAAACTGAATTAAGTTTAAGTTAAGATTTTTCTAATTAATTTTTTGTTTGTATGTTAAAATAATAACTCAAATCAAAATGTATTTCTTCCTGCAATTGAGGTTATATTGTTCAATTTTTAATTCTATTATTTCTTTTTTCTATATATTTAATTTTACTTGTTTCTTGGTTACTTTGATTTTAGATCGTGTGCATTTGGAATTGATCCTGGAGTGACACAAAACCCAAATTCAAGTTTCAGAACCATGGGACAAAAAATATTTGAATTTAGTGCAGTCCAGCAATTTCGATTTGCTGTGTTATCTCTGCTTCCAAATTTAGCATCAAAATTGAACTTTTCATTTTTCAAACCTGAAGTAGTAAAATATTATTGCGATATAATTCTTAATACTCTTGAATTCAGAAAAAAACATGAAATTGAAAGAAATGATTTTATTCAAATGATGTTGCAACTACGATCCAAAGGCAAGATAGATTCCCAGCCAAGTGATCTTGCTGAAGATGATCTTAAAACTAATAAATCAGTTGAAGAAGAAGATAAGGGTAACTGAAATATTTACTTATTTTTTATAACTTATTTATTATAAGAAAAAATAACAGCAGCTTGTTTATTGAAAATTTGAGCTTTGCTCCAAAAAAAAAAGACATGTGATGTGAGTCCACTCGCAGGGTGTATTCCAGGGTGTATCACAGGATGTATTGATTTCGATGAACATTTTTTCTGGTGATTCTAAAAACCAACTTATTGCTGTCCATTTTGTTCAATTAAAAGAAAAAATGCTAATTTATATATCAAGTTTGAAGAATGATATTGATTGGTTTTTCCACACAAAATATTGGTTTTTAGAATATTTTTCAAGGAAAAATACAAGTGCTAAAAAATAATTGCTTGTTGATAAATTAAAAAAAAATTATTTTAATTATTAAGTAAACTAGAGTTACAAATAAAAATCTATTTCTCATATTTTTATTAGAACTACAGTCTCATAGTACAAACCAAGTCGCATTAATTTTGTAATATAAAGATTAATAATTAAAAAATAAAGCTAATGGGCTGTTGCTGGATTAACCAAAACTGTTTCAGCATTAAATAGATCAGTCTTGTGTTACCTGAAAATGAGCATGTGCAAACTGGCTAAAGTCTAACTGTCTCTTAAAATCATTTTTAAACTTACCTGCTCATGTAATATTTTTAATTAACTAAAATTTCTTTTTTTCAATCCCATCAAAATTAAATTGAATCAAGTTCAATCTCATCAATCAAGTTCTGGATTTACGGCAATACTTTATTTTGCTAAATCTTGAAATGTACTCTGAACACTATTTGCATTAGAATTTATATATTCATAAAATTCAAAATAATGTGTAATTATTAAAATCATTTCTGTTTTATATCCACTTATATCATTCATATCCTTATTTTATAAAAAGTTTTATTGTTGACAACATTGCTAATTATTTTATTTCTAAATTCTAGATTTTCAAATTACCGACGAGTTACTCATTGGTACTGCTTTTGGTTTCTTATCGGCTGGATTTCATACAACATCATCAGCACTTACATATGCTCTGTACGAATTATCCAAAAACCCTGAAGCATTAGAAAAAACTCGGAGGGAAATAAAAGAACAAGTAGCAGTACATGGGAATATTAATTATGATTCTCTCAAGTGCATGACTTATTTAGAAAAAGTTCTTAAAGGTAATTTAATATTTTAACTTATATAATTAAATTTTTATTTATTTACTGTTCTTATTTTCATTACATTTATTATCAATGTTTATAGAATTAAGGATTCATCTAATAAATAAATTCATGACACAATTACCTCCCAGTTTATTTGATCATGAATTTCGATTGTATAGAAAACAACACTAATTTATTTTTCAAGTCTTAATCATTTATAGGGCATAATCCTCCAATGATTGTTTTATTCAACCTTTTGATTTTTTTATGCTCCAATGATTCAACAAATGGGTTTTTATAGGTTTTTAAGCACATGTATCAGAGGTTGCTGATCTGCAATGGCATCGTATGGTATTACAATAAAAAATTAATAAAATAATTATTTGCTATTTTGCTATTATATCTAAAATAATACATTTCAAAAAGATTTTCACCAAACTTATTTTGAAGATTTTTTGGAATACTAATAATGCAAAACCATTTTAAGTTTCACTCAGAGTATTTGTATTTTAGATTCAATTTCAACTAACAAGTAACAACCCAAGTAATATAGTAATATATTGGCAAAATGGGACATCCTTGACAAGACTTTAGGCCAAAAAAAAAACAACCTAATCCTGCAAGAGGCTATAGTGATCAAGCAAGTTAAGGTGCCTACAAAAATACACTCAACATGTAGTGGCTTTTTGTTTTGATTTTTATTGAAACCTAAAAGTCTTTCTAGAATCTTTTTAGCCAGATTCTATAACAAAAAAGATAAAAAACTAATAATTATAAATAAATTGAAAATAAAAATAAAATTAGTGAAGGCCCTACCCGAGTATTTAGACCACTAGGACATGGGTTTGATTCCTGCAAGGGTATAGCAATGTCTCCACTCAGAGATTCACAGGGAGGCGAGTAGTCCCTATGTCTTACACCATAGTTCTTGGTCTTCCAGATTGTGGATTGGTTATAGGGATAATAATTTTATACCAACATAAAAACTAAAAAATTCTTATTATGAAACTGAAAAGAAGCCTCTGAAAATCATAGTCTAAACATGGTAACGATCCTGGCTTTGAATCGGACTATAATAGGATCTTGGAACACACATAGCTTATACAGACCAGGAGCCACAAGAATAGTAGTTAAAGAAGTTAAAAGATTTAACATACCATTAACACCCATTCAAGAGCAAAGGTGGCCAGAAGGTGGTGAAAACATTTTTGAGAGCCATAAAATTCAAAGGAAAAAAACAAACTAATACTACAATTTCTATTATATCAAACATAACAGATGAAAAAAAAAATGATGTTGCTTTCTTGTTCAATTGGAATGTTATTTAAAAAATCAACCATTAATTAAAAACTACATAAATATTTTAGTATTACCAGTGGTTATGGGTGTAACAAAGTTGCTCCAGTTAAGACATTAGCTAAATTTTCTTTTTGTTTTTTTATTTAACTTTTAAAGGGTCTAAAATAACTAGCATTATATATCAGTAAAGTTATCAATTTTATTAAAAGAAGGTGATTTGCTAACATATGATATGATTTAAGCAGCAGAGTTAAACCTCATGATAATGGATCTATCGATTTTGGAATTTCAGCCCTGAATGTTTCATCTCTTTCCAAAATTCAATCATACCAACCAATATCTAAAGAATAAAAAAAAATGTTATTTTAAGTGGGAAATCCAATTCATAATGCTCAGTGATGTTGCACTTCAATTTTGAGCTTGTTTTGTATAATTTTAAGTGGCTATAATGTGTTTATTTAATTTTTTTTTATGTAGTTATTTAGATATTAACTTAACAAGAAGTTATAATGTATTTTATTGATTTTTTTTCCTGATCCTGATGAAAAAAGAATTATTCCATCTAAACTAAATTTTGGGATCTGAAGGACTTCCTTCTTAGTGCTGTACAATAAAAATAATAATTGTTTTTTTAAAGTAAAACATTAAAAAACTTATAACTTAAGAATTACTTTCATTAAGTGTACTCCTTTTATAGCAACAATTCCTATTTTAATGCTACCCTAGTGTACACTTTGAAATTTAACCAAAAAAATTTAATATATATAAATAAATAAAACCTTAATTTTTAAACAATTAAGCTTATTGATAAAAATTCACAAATCCTCCTGCTCTACTCAATTTCTTAATTGTAGAGATTTATTTAAGTAGAGCCTAGGTATGAACTTAAGCTACTAGTACTTTTAAATATATTGTTATTTACTGCAGGTTGGTCCCTCTAAATTCATTAGTCTACAAGCTAAGTTCTTAATATATTTATTTTATTTTTGGCCTAATCAATTCTAGCTCTAACATATGATTTTTACTGCAGAAACATTGAGACTTCATCCAGGAGCGCCTTCAACTTTCAGAGTCTGTACAAAGGAATATAAATTTCCCAATGGACTTACTTTATTACCTGGAGATTCAATCATTATACCTATTTATGCCTTGCAAAGAGATCCTAATAACTTTCCCGACCCCCTCAGTTTCAATCCTGATAGATTTGATGAACCACCAGCTCCAGGAACATACCTTCCTTTTGGCGATGGCCCAAGGATATGCATAGGTAATATTTTATCATACATCTATATTGACTTATAAATCATAAGCAAAAGAAACAAATAAATCATGTTTATCATATGAAGCAAATAAATGAAAAATTAAATAACAAACTAACAATATGATATAGTATTGCGAATTGATGAAAATATTCTCATACATGAAGACCTAAATATATTGTGTAACTGAGAAATATATTGATGGTATGTTTGTCTGGGACTTTTCTGTATAAATGAAATAGACATTGTGTTTTATTTCAGTGAAAGAGAAATATTATTCAGGACTTTAATTTTGTTTGAAAATAATAGTCTTCAATAGTTTGGACACATTTAATTAGGCTATGATTAGGCAAAACACCTTACCAGATTAATAAATTATACATCAATCATTTGTTTATATAACATTTAATATACATAATATCATTTTTGCAGTTTGGAAGAAAAAAGGCTAATGTCCAAAACTTTAAAATTTGACCAAACTCCACAAAAAAATATCTGGTGTGTTCACTCACATGACTTTCCTGCCTATTTCAGAAAAGTTTTTATATCTTTACATACGTTCATGAAGAAACAAAAATAATTGAACTAGATACATTTTCCTGAAAATTGATCAAATATTAGATTTGAGTACAATTTATTTGATAAACTAAAGCAATGTAAACCGGCTTCAGGTAGATCAGTGTACAAATTTCAATACTTCCTAATATTGATGATCAAAAACTTTTTGCCATAGCTTAGTATTGTCAAACAATAATTTCTGTTAAAAGTAGAGGCAATAGTGAAGCTTGTGTGATGTGGGCAACAGATTTTCTTACTTTCACTTAGTCATCTTTATTCTCTCATTCACCCCTTTCTGACACCAGGATATGAAACCGTAATCTTACATTGGAAATTGAATAGCTGTAACTTCGTTAATAGTTGTCCAAAATGAACGATTTTTATATGGCTTTGTAGGGAATTTCATTACCTTTCAAAGACAGGCTAAACAGCGTATTTTCAGGTGGCTCTGAAACGGATAGATCCGTCGAAAGCCACATGTCGGAAATTTGATCCGATTGCAATACTTTCCTTACCTAGTATAGGTAGGAAAGTAAAAATGTAAGATAGAGTATACATTAATTTTTAGAAGGCTCTCTTCTTTATCAGTTAGCCTTACTAGGAGATATTGGGAGGACATTAATTCCATTAAAAGTTAATGTTCGTCCTTTCTTAATTTTTTCTGTTTATTTCCTGAATTAAAATATTTTTAGAAACCAATTTATGTTTTGGAAATAAATATGGATACGCCCCCATGCCAATATAGCAGTCTAGCATGTTTGATTTATTATACTTTTTTTTTAAATTACATTTATTTTAATATTATTATGATCCAACATATGATCAAAACTAGGTATATTGTATTATAGTAATTTTATACAAGTGAAAATATCTTTTATGATTGTTATAGGTTTGAGATTTGCTATGATGGAAATGAAGTTCGCTCTTTCCACACTGCTGTTGAATTATAACATTCAATTAAGTAAATCAACTGAAACCCCTGTCAAAATGTCTCCAAGGGGATTTTTGAACATACCTTTGAATGAAGTAAAATTTAAAATAACAAAAATATAAACATATTATTTTTTAAACTAAAATATCCTTAAGTATTTTATATATCTATAATAAATATATCTGTACATTAATAATTTGTTAATAAAAATTAAATAATATACTTCTATATAATTTTAGTTAGTTTCATTATGACCATCCACACTTATTCTCCTTGTGATTTGAAGGTACAGCTGGAGTATCATTGCTTGATTCCATGTCATTCTATTTCAAATCACTTAGACAAGAATTTTTTTTAAAATTTTATTTTATGTGACTTTGGTAACATGATATGTACAACATGAAGAGAAACTACCCATTGGTAGAACTCAAATTAAAGTTCTATATTAGAAGGTCCCGAGACCATCTTCTTTTCAGACGTCTCGGAGGATTATCAGGGATCGAGGAGGAAGCAAGGTTTGAAACGAGAGGATTCGGATGGTTCTGCAGTTTGTTATGGAAGGATAGATATCTGGATTGGGCCAAATCGGAAACATATGGAACATTAAGGTCTTTATGGATGATTTTATTTGTGACAAAGTAAGGAGCGTTGAGGATTTTATGAAGGATTTTGGATTGTAAGGATTGGATACGAGAGGAATTCGATGGTTTAGTGCAGCCCCAAAGCTCAATTTCGTAAGTCCAAATAGGTCTTATTATTGTCATATATATGAGTCGTTTGTAATTGATTGTGAGCTTAGAACGTTTGTCTAGTAAGTGCTGCAGTAGTCGAAAACGTCGGGCGGTTTCAAGTCGTTTCAGTCTGGTATGGGGGTTCCAAGTTAGACAAGAATTAAAATGAAAAAACCCAGTCTCAGATTTTTATTATTTTTTTAGTTATCCTTAAACTATAAACTAACAGGATTAGGAATACAATTTTTGGTTATTTGCCTACCATTACAGTGGTTAAAATATTTTTACATACACCTTTTTTTTGTAAAAGTAGTTAATTAAATATTTCATATCTCTGAAAATTTTCAGTAAATTGCAATGAAGTTTTCTCAAAATATTCAGAATAAACTACAGTGAGAAATCTATTCAAAACATATCTATTTAATTGTGCAGTAATTATTAGTTCAAACTTGGACTTGGCAATGTAATCCAAATTGGTGGAAGAGTGTAAAGGTAATCTAAAAACTTTTTTCCCTAACCGAAATAGTGTGGGTTGAATGGATATCCAGAAATTATATTATAGGAAATGAGAAGTTTGATAACTTTTGTAGGAAAGGCCTTAGAACAAGTTACACTTCAGACCATCTATGTTATCAATTTCATCTCAGAATAAGAAAAAATATGGCTGTAGGATTCAACTTTAGGCTCTATTGGAGCGTGAGAAAATGAGTGGATTTTGAGTTGATTCTTGGTCGAAATTTGATATGAAAATAAAAATTAAGCATGAATTGTACATATTACTCCATGAAATGTATTTTATTGGAATAAAAAAAAAATGATATTAATTTTTCACACCCCTAAAAACCATGAAATATGAATTTTCGTTGAAATAAAAAAATGTAAATTTTTTGCTCAATTCTGCCTTCTATCAATAGCTGTTATGAGATCCATCGATGTTTATAGATTTATAGTAGGTATTAGTAAAGTAACATTCATTTATTTTTCTATTGCAATTAAAATTTCCTTATTATTTTAATATTTATTGTACCGTTTTAATTTGTACCATTAAGCTATAAACATATGAATTTTCATTCCAATCAAAAAGTAAAAACTTTTTGCTCAAAATTTCGCCTAGGCTACAACCTTCAATTTTTTTTGTTGGAAAATCACATAAGTTGTGATAACTGCTCCATTTATCCACACGAAAATTAGCATGAATTGGGAGGCATATACAAAGACACAAAATGGCACAAACCAGACCCGCAAATAAATTAGGCTTGGAGATAAAAAATAAGAACATTTGGGGAGCTTTATTTATTTATTCCTTGTAAAGGAGTAAAATCTAAAAGTTATCAACATGGTTTTGAAGAGCAATAATATAGCTTCTCAATGGTTTTAGTAAAGTTAACTTAGGAGAAAATCCTGAGGAGTTCCATTTTAGTTAACAGCATAAAGAAAAATCCTCTCGGAAAATTAAGTCCAAAAATTTATATTAAAAAAAAAACTCGTATTTAAGAATTTTAGTGGATGCTAAAAATGAATCTGAATTGTTTTTTCATTACAAAAATTTACTTGGCCTACTTTACTGGAAGCGTCTTTGGGTTTTTACAATTTATTATACATTAAAATTCGTTTGATACAATTAACAATATGTTTTTCTTATTTTACACAAAAAAACAAATCGATTGATACATAATGTCTTAGAAATCCATGCAGAGCAAAATCAGAAGACATTAATATAAAAAAATAATAAAATCTTGTAAAATTTTTTTCTTGGCTCCTAGGGCGCATTTGCAAGAACCTTCAGACATGGGACATACATTTTTTGACCTAGTACCGCCCAAAATATTTTCATTGAAATCGGTGACCCCATGTCATAACCTCTCCTTGTGAGTCATATAAATCAAGGATCATCCTGTAATCTGAGTATGAAAATAGGTTTAATTGAAGAAGTAGTGTGATTCTTGTGAGCTTTCAAAATTTAAAATTTAGAAACTGGGGTCTTGAAAACGGTTTATCACTCTTGAAATGACTTTCGGGTTCAACATTATATGAAGCATTAAAATAGGGATTGAAATTAGGTACACGGTAAACCATATTAGATTGATTTACAAGTAAGAAAGGATTATTGAACTTACTATAAAGGTTTTATATTTATTTTATGTAAACAAAAGTTTAGGTGAGAGAAACTACAGTTAATATTTTTCCTGACAGGTTATATGTAAGCATAGATGGACAAATGCTACTCTAAGTACCGAGAACCATGTATTTTACTCCGATTGAATCGCTATTGGGAATTCAATCACTACTACAGTTAATGGTTTGATATCACCTGAAGTAGTAATTAAATTCTTTGGTACTCGGTATTCAGAGAAGCATTTGCCCATCTTGTATGTAAGGAACCTATATTGGGAAATTTACGTAGGGGGATGTTGAATAATTGAGCATATGTGGAACCCTGCTGAGTAGCTGTATCAATCCTGGGCTTGCTTTAAATTTATGCTTGCTGGCTTAACTCAGCTGGTATCTACGATGAGAAATACTACAGTTCTACTTCCAGAATCACTTCTACTTCTGTGAATGTTTATTGATCCTCCTGATGTAGATGAAATAGTCAGTGATACTTTTTGTGCTCTTTTCTTAGTGAACCAAATGTTATAACATATAAAATAAAGTATGACAGCTAGTGGAATAAGAAAATATTACCGATTAGTATATCATAAGCAAGGCCCGGATTTGTATGCAGTAAAAGCCCACAGAATATGCCATACAATATGCAGTGACAGCCCCTTATGGATACTAGGTGAGGCAGCTATGGCATTTTTGAGAATGAAGGCTAATAGACAGTGGCAATTAACAGGGACACACACCTGCCGCTTAGAAATGACCAAGAAAGTGGAAAAAGAGTTACCTATCTTACAGTACCTCTCTCCGCCGCTTGATAAAAACCTTATTTTAGCTACCTGTACTCTAATGTTACAGATTGGGCAGAGGGTTCAGTAGAAACACAATACTTTCTGCAGCCACCTGTCTAGAAGTTACTAATTGTGAGAATGCTGGCATCACAATCTATTCAGATAGTCAGTCGGCACTACAAGCATTGGAATCTCACAAAGTGACCTCCACAGGAGTGTAAACAGGCTTTAGAGATACTGGCCTGCTCCAAAAGGGTGGAACTAGTGTGGGTTCCTGGTCACAAAGGAATTAAGGGCAATGAAACAGCCGATGCCCTTGCAAGAAAAGGAGCAGAATATCCTATTGTAGGTACGGAACCTGCAATAGGAATATCCAAAAAGCATTAGTGGAAAGAAGTCCTTGATTGGACCTGGAAAAAAGCAGGTTAAGAATGAAGGGAATGCACTAGGCTTAGACAAGCTAACAATTTATCAAAAGCCCCTCTCCCTCCAAAACTAAGTGGCTGCTGGGCCTAACTAGGAAAGAAATCTGACTCATCATCGGAGTACGAATACTAACAGGCCACTGCAGACTTAAAAGACATTTAAAGATCTGTGGGATAGTGGATGATGAACTCTGCAATCTTTGCAGAAGTGCACCTGAAACTGCCCTCCACTTCCTAACAGAATGTGACCAATTTGTGTCACTCAGATACAGACTTCTGGGTGCAGACAGAATCCGAGTATGCAAAGCTACCTCCATAAAATGGCTCAACCTTGTGAACTTCATTAGAAGAACAAAAAGGTTTGAGACAAGAGTTGGAGGTACAATAGACAATCATTAATAATATCATCTTTGGGGTTGGCAAAAAGGATCAATAGGCCCACTTGGTGGACTAAGTCCCCCCACCAGTACCAATACCAGTACCACCAATCCCTGAAATATACAGCTCAATATTCCGTAAAACAACATGAAAAATGCAATTACTAGTCTTTAAATATACTAAACTTACTAATTACTTGATTACTATTATGTCAATAATGTATTTAAACATAATGACCTGCCTCCAAAAAGTTTAGAAATGAAAATAAATTATTAAGAGTTTCAAAATTACAATAATTTAGGTTTATTTATTTTTTTAAATATCTAAATTAAAGAATGAAAATAACATATAGGGCTAGCAAGGTTATAATATGCATATGTACATTATAATAGTGATGAAAACATGATATGAATTACATTAAAAAAATTTAAATATCAAAATAGTACAAAGTATATACAAATAAAGAAAACAATAATTGTATTAACACATAATTAAATAAGCATAGTAATACAAGATAACTATTATGGAACAATAAGTATGTAAATGCCATAAAATTTTGTATGTTAATGGATAAAAATCTAACATGAGTCTTTGTTGAAACAATAATATAATTAATAATTTGTGGAATAAATAACATAAAATAGATGAAACATTCGAATTAGTGTTATTTTCAGACATGTTCTGAATTAAAATTAATCACCAGAAGTATTTGAAAATTTTATTTTGTGAAACCTAACCTTTTATAAAATATTTTTATTAGGAACAATTGAATCTTCGCCATTTAAAATTGTATTAATACCTTCCCAAATTGTGAGACCTAAATTTTTTATAGAAACTTCTTCCATTTTGTCATTTAAAGTTTAACCCACTTGGACTGGTACCGCTGGTTTTCCATCAGTTGTAAAAAGTATTTCTTTCTGTTTTAAAGTTCAATCCAAGAATTCAACATTGATGAAAATGATAAAGATACATTTGGCCATTTTAAATAAACAGAAATAAGATCTCTTACTAACAAGAACATCGGCAACAAACTACAATAAAATAGAAACTATGATGTTTACATGGGACAAGAAGGGGAAATGGATTTCCAGGAATTGGAGAACATATCTAAAGAGAATTATTAAAGAGTATAGCGGAAGGTATACAAAATATATAGTATACAAATATATACTATATAGTATACAATATATAGTATACAAATATAAATACAAATATATAAAATATAGTATACAAATATGGTAGATTTTGTTCATTGAAAAGAAACCTACGATTATAATCTTGAATTGCATCTTCAATATTGCATTTTAATTTGTATATATCAATAAATAAATATTCATTTATATATATATATATATATATATATATATATATATATATATATTAATTAATCAAAATATGCAATGATATGTATTTATTTTCAAATATGCAATTATATCCATATATCCTCAAATATGCAAAATACAATTTGGCTAATTGCATCTCAGTGTACTAATTCGTATAGATATTTGATCAGCGGTTAAAAAAAATAATACAAACAAAATATGCAATTGTGTGAAAATCCAGGCCTTGATGATTTACCATGAATAATATTGACAAGAGATATATCAGTGAATGGACGCAGCATGGAGTGTATATATTTTTTGTGTGTTGTATTTAATATATTTTAATACAAAGATATGATTTATACATATATATTTGTTTTATAGCCAATAACTTTGATGACATTAAAATGGATATTTTTATATCATAAGATGGATTTTTTTTCTTTAATGAATTTGTAAAACTTACTTAAGCCAACTTATTTGATTGAGAAATATTTGTTCAAATTTAAGAATTTTACTAGTAAGTAGTAATTACTGATTAATTTAGTATGTTATATGAATGTCAGAAAAGTATAACTCTCCATTAAACCATATTTAATCAATTCAATTCTTATTTAAATTCCAATCTGTAGATTCTTAATAATTTTAATCTTTTATGTCTTGATAATTTTAATCTTTGATTTCTAAATAATTAATGTCTTTGGTATCTACAGTAAAATTGTTTCATCCATTCAATTAATTATTAACATTTTTTGAAGGCATAAAACGCACAACATGGTAATGAATGATAAATGGGTTTTCAACTATTGAATCATTGTTATCACACTAATTGAAGGTCACTTTAATCAGATTGGGTGTAGTTTAAGAAGTGTTCCATAAACTCCTTAACTGAATGTGCTTCTTTAGAGCCTATAAGGTAATTTTTAAAGATTAACTAAGTATGCATTTAATGACAACTTTTTTATTTCATTGCATTTAGATTTTATTGAGCTAAATCTGTCCAATTTATTGTCTGGGATGTTCCATGAAACAACAAAAGTTTAAAGAAACGTACTTTATTATTTCTTTATTTTATTTTTTTCAGTAATAAATTCACTTATCCTGTAAGCTTATTAAAAGAAATTTAAATATTTTAATATATTTTAACATCTAGATTCAGGCTGATCATTCTTTCATAGTAGATCAAATTCTCAAATTAATGTAAGCTTTTACATTCATATTTTATTTTTTTTAATGATATATATATATATATATATATATATATCACAGATTTTTAGTAATATTTTTTTTTACACTATGCCAGTAATTACCATTAATTTTTTAAGTAACAGAAATGGCAGCATTGTAACAAAATATGTAATTAAAAAAATAATAAAATTATATGACCATAATATTTTAATTTTTCCTGACTTGAAAATTTATTCTGGAGAAAAATAATTTGCTACTATTGGGGATATTAGGATCTAAGGTATCTGGAAAAAAAAAACTAACACTATAACCCTTGAAGAGTCTTGGGTTCAGTACTATTTAGGGAAAACCTTATTTGGTCAAAGGTTGTGCAAGGAGATGATTTGATCGAGGTCACGCTCAACCACCAGGTTTCCCCCCTTAATTAATTATTTTAATTAAGGGTATCCACTTTATAGAGGCTGGTTGTGCCCCAGAAGGGTTTACCTGTCCCAGGATCGCCTCATTGCCAAGAAACAAATTAAATAATTTTTCTGCCATGAGCCGGAATTCGAATCTGGGACCTTTAGCAATGGAAGATCAGTACCCTACCACTGAGCTACCCCACTCACTTCCAAGGTATATGATTAACTAAAATAAAATAGGCCCCTGTTATCCCTGAAAAGGATTAAAAAAAAACAACTAAGAACCAAAATATACATTACTCCTCCAATTTTGGCTATCTTTTAAAAAACATGTGAATTAAACACAGTTATTTCAAATCCATACACTTGTGTTTTGGATTTAATTGATTTGTTTTTTATTTAATATACTATTTTTCATAATATATGCTAGTAACTGGAACAATCAGCTATATTAACCCTTTGTTTTTAATATAATAGTTTTTAAATAGCATACCTAATATCTATTATTAAAATAGCACCAATTTTAAATATTGAAATTTTAAAATATTGGGAACTTACCATTTATAGAAATCTTTTCTGAAAAAAAAAAAGGTTTCTTGATATATAATTGAGTTGAGAAGAAAGATGAATGAAGTATAGAATTATGTATCACTTATGCTTTATTTTAGAACATATAAAATTTAAAAAAATGGCTTAGTGAACCAAAAAGTTCATTGCCGATAAAAGCGATTGCGGTCTATATACTTCATTCTTCCGATCGCTGTCCAAACCTGACACAGCCAGATCAGCCTTAACCCAATCCACCCACCTTTACTTTAGTCCACCCCTCAGATGCTTACCAGTTGACGTAGAGTTTATTAATATTTTAGAGATTTATTGACTATTAAGTCCAACAATTTTACTCCTTCAGTTTAGTTTTGCATGATACTCATGCAATGGTATCATCTCAATTATGTTTACCAAGTATATTGTATGCAATTCAGCATTGTGTAGTGTCATATAAAATAAAAGGTTTATAAAGAGATGATAAAAAGGCAGAAAAATTAAGCTTGCCCCTCCTGGCAAAAATCCTAGTTCCGTCATTCATGATCTTTATCCCTCTATATCTTAGAAAAGAAATCTGTTAAAAATTCTAAATTGATTTCCTCTGTCAAAAAATTATTTCTGCGTATAAGGAATGATAATGTTTTCTATATAATTGGATTCAATTTAAAATATAAATTTATAATTATATTAATTAATTAATTAATTTTGCCCTTGGATATTAACATCACTACTAGATATATATAATGGTATATTTTGTACATCATTGCACAGATAAAAAAAGCAAAATTAATTTTTTGTCTGTATGAATAATTATTATAGTTCTCAATTGATTATGTTTCAGAATGTTGACATTATGTTTGATAATATTGGTTCTAACACTAGTGGGTTTCATAGTGAACTGGATCCGCAAAGTGCATTTGTTTTGGGAAAAAAAAGGAATAAAACATCTTAAACCTTCATTCCTTTTTGGTAATTCCCTACCAGTTTTACTCAATAAGAAAAGTATCTCTGAGCAGTTTATAGATCTTTGCAAAACTTATCCAAATGAACCACTTTTAGGGTAAGTTGGTGTACCTCTATTTTTTTTTTTAATGATAAAATTATGAAACAACTATAATTTAATCAGGAATAAAGGTTCTATCACTTTTGGTTTGTAGGAGCAGGACTTAAATATTTTTTGTTTTTCTAAAAATTGCTATAGTGTGAAAATTGGTGGCACTGTCAAGTGACATTTGCAATTTTTTACTAAGAATGAGAAGTTTCAGTCAAAGGGACGTCTGTTTAAACTAATTATTTTTGTTGTGATTATAACTTAAAAAATATTAGACAGAAGTCCCAGTATTCATTTCAAGGGACCTTAGGGACAGAAAAAAATAAGAATTTCATAATTTAAACAAAACTTTTTTTTTTGTATGACTTGTTAGTAACAAATTCCTGGGTCACATAACAATATATTATATACCAATCAATTTCATTTTACATTCAGAAAGAGAAAAAAATATTGCCTATAGTATTAAATGAGTTATAACTAGAGACCGGATTTCCATGTTATTGCACTTTTTATTTGCTTGCGTGTAAAAACTCTGGTCCCGAATATCTATCCGTTTCAGGACCTGTAGAATAACATATTTAAATATTGTACGTTTTGCCGTTTTTGGCCTAAATTGCACGATTTTGATTTTTGTTGCATTAAATTGCACATTTTTGCACTTTTGTGCTAAATTAGACAATTTATAAATACAAATGTATAAGTGAGTGTGTTAATATTTATTTCACTTTTTTATTTTATTATATTGTTCAAATTAAATTCATTATTTAAAACAGAAAAATATGAGGAAGGCAAATAATTCTGTGTGAAGCAAGAATCGTATTCATTACAAAAGGAAGAAGTAAACACAAGTGGGATCTATTCTTATGGAATAGAACTTGCCTAAAGTATTGGATAATAAAAACCTGCTTTCCTAGAATTAGCTGCTTTGTTAGTAAGGCATTTATAGTTATTGTTTGATGTTATAGTTATAGTTGATTGTTGAATCCTCACTCATCATTCAACCCTTCAGTATTTCATCTGGCTTTAAATTGATTTGTAGAAATTTCATTATAAAAAAAAAATTAATAATGCTCGGAGTAAAATCGAGTCTCTCGTCAAAAAATAAAATCTGGATATAAAAATACAATGATTTGAAATGTAAGGACAAAGAATTTGATAAGAAAGCTCTATCCACTTTATGAAAAATAAACCAGGTGATAGGAAATCACGGATAGATGCTCATTGTGGAACATGTATGAAAAAAATACTCCTATCAAAGAATTGAATGTTGTTTTTTTTGAGGAGTTTGAGAACCTAATCCCTGAAAATATTATTTTAGTGATATAGAAATACAGCTTCAACACTAATATTTGAACACTTGAAAATATCAAACACTACAGTCTATTTCAATTTTTTTTTTTTAATTCTTTAATTTTAACAAAAGCATTTTGAAATGAATGTATGATATTGGAAATTTCAACCATATTAAAAAATAAAATTTTCATTATTATTTTTAATAAAAGTTAAATACCTAAAATTTGTCTGGTCTATATAATATATAAATAATTCCTGCCTTCATTTATTCCTTCAATGCTTCAATGTTCTGCATTATTTGATAATAATGATTGTTATAATAGTTGATCATAATCTGGAATTTCATTTTCAATGCAACATTTCAATTTTTTTTTCTAAAAAACTCTCGGTTAACTGAAGATCTGATAAGGTTTCGATGAATTAATGTTATCAATTAAATAATATTGGTGATTTTACACGTTTTAGGTGTTAATTACACAATTTTAAGCATTTTGGATTTTTACTGCACGATTTTGCATATTTTGAGTTTTTTACTGCACATTTTCCGAAGTTTTACTGCACGAAAATCTGGTCTCTAGTTATAACACATCATATATTAAAAAAAAAAAAAAAAAGACACTTCCAGTAGAGCAGGCTAAGTAATTTTTGTGTTATGAAAAAGCAAGTTAGACTCGTTTTTTTAGTGTCCTTTAAAATTAAAAAAAATAAATTTTCATGATATCCGCAATAACATGCAATAAGTGCAAAAATGTGCAATTTAATGCAACAAAAATAAAAATCGTGCACTTTAGACCAAAAACGGCAAAACGTGCAATATAAAATTTAAATATGTTATTCTACAGGTCCTGAAACGGATAGATATTCGGGACCGGAGTTTTTACACGCAAGCGAATAAAAAGGGCAATAACATGGAAATCCAGTCTCTAGTTATAACTCATTTAATACTATAGGCAATATTTTTTTTCTCTTTCTGAATGCAAAATGAAATTTGCATCAAAAAAATAAAAAAATTTATATTATATAATATTATATTTTATTACATTATCCAAAATTTCAACTTACATTGTAGGTCTCCCTAAGGAGATTCTGCCAGGCATTGTTGAATAATAATAAAAATTCTAGTAATTGATTTCTTCAGAGGATTTTTTTCTAGTTATTAACTAAAGCATTCATGATTCCTCAGGATTTTCTCTATATTTAACATTAACACAACCACTGAAAAGCTGAATTAGTGCTCTTCCAACTTATCACTATCAATAACGTTTAGATTTTATTCCTTCATAAGTTAGAAATAAAGAAAATTTTTCAAACATTTTTATTGCTATAAAACATATTAAAGGATTTTTTGAGGTAAAAAAATTAATATCAACAAATTAATAGGCTTCTAAGACCCATTGGAATGAATGCCAAAACATGTTTCTAATATTTCTTAATGTATAATGCATGTATAAAACCTAAATGTATAATGTATAATACCTTGACTCAAACTAAAAAAAAAATAATTTAAAATCAGAGACCCATCCTTATATGACCTCTCCTTTTATAATATTTATATAGGTAAATTTTTATCTAAAGAGAATTAAATTTTTTTCTACAACTTTTGCAGACATTATGATTTCCTGAAGCCATCACTAATAGTTCAAGATGCTGATTATGCTGAAAAGATTTTAATTAAGGACTTCCTACATTTTACAGATCATGGAATGGAAGTGAATGAAGACAAAAATCCAATAGATGCTCAGTTATTTACTATGTGTGGAAAAAAGTGGCGTGCATTCAGGTGACTAAATCAGTAATACTCTAAATACATGAATTTAGAAAAAAATCTCCCAAAAAGTAAAGATAACGTTTTTGTTATTAAAAATAGATTATTTTTCACTACTAACATATCAATAGCCACACTGCAAAAGCCTGTAAGGAGAATTTCTATGAAAAATGATGTTTTGAGATTTTCTGGCCAATCTTGTCCTGGCGCAAATTCTGATCCCACAAAATGAAATCTACAATTTTTCATTTCTTCTCCATGGCCTTTTATAAAAACCTGTAAGATGATCATGTTAATTCAGAATGTATAAAGCATTTTGAGCACAGATTACATTATCAATTAGCTTTATTAATAGGTTTAAATTACTTTTTCTCATAAGCTTTGTATTATTTTTTTAAATTTCTAATAAGTGGCGAGCACTTCCAGCCCAGTGCCTCTGGGCAAATGCCCGGATTTCCCTGCTCTGAGGCTGGAAACTCCTTACCATGGAACTAGACTAAGCAAATAAGAGAGTGGTAAGCGGGAATATAATATTAAATGGCCTTCAAAACCTACTGGGCACAAAAGGGGGAGGGGGAAAAAGGTACAATGCCGCCTATTCCCTGATAGTGAGAGACAGAGATATGTATGAATTTAATTGGATAATTTAATAGAAGACAAAAAAATAACTCTAGTTTCATTTTTTCTAGCCAATTAATCTTCGAAATTGCTTTTACCTAACTATAGTAAGATATTATAATATCTGTTTTTCAAAGTAACTAAAAAGCTATAAGTTTGAAGTAATGGCTCTACAAGCTTATTTGGCATAAATGCGAGCAAAAAAGTTACATAGAACATTACATCATTGTCTTAGGCCTGTGTAAAAATATGCTAGTGTAAATTTCAGTCATTTCCATTTTCTTCTAAAGCTTTATTGTCTATTTTTAATTTGCTCAACTTTTCTTAAACAGATTTCACACTTGAATCTTTCTCTTTGATCTGAGTCCTCGTTCTTGTGTTATCTAACTCTGTTTCAATTAAATCAAAAGCTAGTTCTTGTGACAGATTCTCTTCAAGAACGTTCGCTTCATTTACTTTAGCTTCTTTTCCAAAAAACTTAATCACCCTTTTTTTTAAGGTCCTTTATTGCCTTAGTTTCTGGTTTAACATCCTTGTCACTACATCCAGCTACTCTCATGGTGCTATACCATTGACTGTCCTGCGATCCTGATTTTTGCCTTTGGAGTTTTATTGTTTCTTTGTTTTGTTTTTTAACAGGCTTAGATATTTGTTCCTGTTCTTCAGCATTTTTAACATCTATGAGGCCATTATCATGACTTAAGTTATCATTCTTATCATTCTTAAGTTCGATGTTTGTATATTTATTTCATTATTTTGACATAGTTCTTTCTCATGACTATGAGTAGATACTTGTAGCACTGGCAAAATTTGTACCCTTACCTTTTTGACACCATGATCTTTTCAGCAGTGATAAATCTCATATTGAGAACACTGCTGAATCACATTCATTCCTGGGAATAATAATTTTGTAGCCCCTTTTCAGTGTGATATCTTCTGCAACTGAAATGTCCACTGTTTCTTTAATTGGATATTGCCTCAATCAATGACTCATCTAAGATTTCCTTCCAAGCCTCAGTATTTCTTGCTACACTACTATTTAATCCAATGGACAAACTTTCATAATACATACCTTGTTCACCTTTTATTATGTTCTAAAAAGTCTTGTAGAAAAATGGAAATTCTTAGTATATCATTTTGTCTAGGGTCAAAATTGAAATCATTCAGAAGGACTTTGTCATGATTATTATAAAATTTTAAATTATTTTAACTTTATCATGACTTTTTAAGATAAAAAAATAGTGAATGACATTGCAATGGAAGTATCTAAGTGTTATTAGTGAGTGGTAAAATGTACTTATTTATTCTTTTTAGGTATAAACTCAGTCCTATTTTCACATCTGGAAAGTTAAAAAATATGTTTGATACAATGGCTGTATTTGGAGACAGACTAGTCAACCTGTTATCAACGAAAAAAGAATATAAGAAAGTGAATCTTCGAGAAGCAATGTCATCTCTTTCAATGGATATAATTGCGTAATGCATATTTTTTATAAGACATTATTTTTTAAACTTTTTTTATCATTATATATCAATGCAGTTTCTATTTTCATGTCTTTGGTATTCCATTTCATTACTATTTTTATTAAAAATTTACTTTAATTGTTTTAACTTTACGTTAATATTGTAGTTAATAACAGATTATTTTTATTTTTGGTGTGGCATTAATTTGTTATTGAAAACTGATTTGATAGGAACAGGTTTATTGTTGAATTAACAATTTTATTATTTAGTTTTATTTTTTATTAATTTTTGAAGTAATTAAATTTTATAAATTGTTCCCTCTCATGAGTCAATATTTTTGAGTTGACTACATCCTGGATACTTAAATCTTTTTTTATGTCTATCAATTTCTATTTTAACCTCTGAGTATCTGGTTTATGGAAGTGTAATTTCATATTCAGTATATATAATCATTATACTTTTGTTGATCAAAGTACTAGAATTGTATGGAAATTATTCAAAATTTTAATAATTCTGGGTGAATCAAGGCACTAGTTGATCAAGGATTTAATTTGGGGGTGGCTTCAACCCGAAAACTTTTTTTTTCATGAAAATAATGATAATTTCTTTGGAAAAAAAGAAAGAAACTAACTATCTATATGAGTTGGTGATTCCTGAAGTCCTTTTAAATGTAATTACACGAGTAGTAATACTTTAAGAGATAACTTTTTAACATTTTTTTCCATGAAACATGGTTATATTTTACAATTTTGGGAGGGAGGAGGGGGCTTCAGCCCCAAAGCCCTCCCTGTAGATCCGCTCGTGAATCAAGGCAGTAGAAAGTACTCTCAAAAGGGCTGAGTAAGCAATGAGGTAATGAAACATGCACTCAAAATTAGCTATGCTTGGCATTATCTGAATAAAACATTAGTTACTTATAATCGATTTTGCTCGTCTCTGAAAATACCATCATTACAACATTTTCTTCCATATTTTGCTGATTCTTATATTGCCTCTCTATATATTGAAATAATTATGCAGAAACAACAATGGAAGTCTCTTCTAAATGCTTGACCATCTAAATGCTCCTCCGTTTGCTTTATGAATTAATAAAATTACAGAAGGAATATCTACAAAATATAAAAAAATAAAAACTTTTCAGGTTTTATTGTAGATTATTTTATATATTAAAAATAATAATGCTTTATTAAATGTGTAATACAAAATTAAAAACATACATATGAAAAAAAAATACAAAACATTTTATTGCATGGAAATCCATCTGTCAGGACTATACTATATATTTTCCATAATCTTTATGTGTTCATTTTTTTTTCTTTTACCATTTTTGGCTAAACCATATTTAGTATTGCCTATTGTGTTGTTAAAATTGATATTATATTTACATTTACTTTCTCTTTGTGTGTAATGAAAGGTTTTCAACTTTCTCAATATTTCTTTTGCTTGTTTTTGAAGATATGTTGAACATTTCTTTTAATTTAATTTTTTCTTTTCGTCATTAATTAAAAATGACAGATTACTAGGAACTAAAATAAAATCTTTAGCAGTAAAATAATTAGAACTATAGAGCAGGATCTAATTGTTACTTTCTTTAATTTCAGATCTACAGTATTTGGTATCGAAACAAATGTACTTGAAAATCCGGATTCTGAATTTCGTAAAATGGGAAAAAAAGTTTTTGATTTTGGTATTGTGGGATTTATTAAGATATGGATTATAATGTCATTTCCTGGGCTTGGGAAAAAACTTGGAGTTTCTATAAACAATAAAGATGTAGTTCAGTATTTCACAGATATAATTAAAAAAACTTTCAGCCATAGACGAAAGAACAATATTCATAGAAATGATTTTGTACAAATGATGATACAGCTTCAAGATAAAGGGCATATTGAAGTCCGTAATTGGGATGCAAATGATGATTACTTGAAGACTGATGAAGACAGTAATATGAATGTTGACAGCTATGGTTAGTATAGAAACATTAAACAAAATTGAATTACACTAGTTGTAGCTTTGAATTATTTCTTGTGTCAAAGAAATTACAATTTAATGTGGAAAATTATCGGTATCAGTATTCTTTGGTGAAATTTGCTGGCATTTTCTCTACCTTGTAATTCAATCTTAACTTTTATTCATGGCTTTCAGATTTATATCTTCCAGCTTGCATAACACAACATTTGATATTATATTATTATTAGGATATTTCTTATCTGACCTTCAGAATTCTATTTCTTCCTTCATCTATTGTTGATATACTTTTTTTCACTTTTAAATCCTTATTTATCCATCTTGAATTGAAAGTTAAAGAATACATTTAGGACTTTAAATTTTTTTATGATTTATAAATTGGTAGAAATAAATAATTGTTTCCTTTTCTGTGTCTGTTTATTTTCATTAGCACAAATTAGTTTACTTCAGTCCTTTGCATTAAATCCTGTTTACCAAACAAAATTACTTATCTTTTAATAATTCATCACTCAACATGAAAGTAACAAAGGGAAATTTTAAGGGTTGTACAAAGTTCATTGTGGTAACATGTTTCTGTTGGACATGGACCGACTACATAAATATTAAATCTGTTTTCTAAGAAACACTTGTTTTTAAATGCAGTACAAATTACTGTATATAAGTACATGTTACAGTACAACTTACTATGATTTTAAGTATACAATGTTATATTTACAGCTGCTTTGTTTGACTTAACGCTCCAACCAACCTCTCTTCAATATATCTAAGACAGTCAATTATTAATTCACTATTATATTTAGCATTTTTGCAGTAGGTTTGATTATTAGGCGTGTTTCAATACGAATTTTGACTATCAGCATACTGTCAGCTGCATGCATCATGTAATTTTTCTTTTCCAACTGTACCCCCATAATACTGGAATGTAAAAACTACTCATGAGGCTGACAGGTTGGTGATAATTTAATTTTATGTCAAAATACACCTATTAAAAGTCTATTGGAACTATTGATAATCTTTAATGGTATCCTGGGAATAAGTGGATTAAAGAAAAGAGGTTTTTTTTTTATTCACAGTATAGCTTATATAATCGTGACATCAATAGGCTTTGTTTTATTTTCTCTCAAATTTTAAGCAGGATTTCACGCTGTTGTAATGTACAGTTTCTCCAATTATAAATTCATCCCAATACAACTTGAGGAAATCCTTTTGAAATTGTCTATTTGGATTGTACTCATAACATGGAGCTTTTTTATCTAATAAGTTAAATCTCAAAGCCAAGGTCTAATTAAATGTTTTGCCACACTGTTATACCTCTGAAGGGAACATGACGGAACGTCAGGGCAATGGTCCCAGAGTGCCTTTTCTGGAATACCATGTGTGGATAAGATAAATGAATCTTGACACTGCCATTCTAATTAGTACGTGACTGCAACCTTCGAGGTAGCTGTCTGAAGTTACCAAAAAATACCTCATGGGCCACTTGTTGGTCTAACTCTCCTCACTGTTACTAATAGCAATAGTGCTCAGCTCTAGAGGTGTCTACATCAGCTAGCAATCCATATTAAGCTGTGACATGCTGGATTAATTTAGCATAAAGAAGAATAGAAAATAGTCCCAGAAATTAACCATTCAATTGGTCTTCCTTCAATTGAATCTCCATTTAATGGAGTCTTTATTGAAGTGATTATAGAATATCCTATGCAAAGATTTGTTCTTCCAATCTGATGGCTGTTTTCTTGATATAAGTATTCAATTAGTGGCTTAGCAGATAAACACCATCAGCAGTACTGAGGGTCGAGATAAATAGATAAAGACCTTGAGAAAAATATTGTTGCGATTTTATTAATTTGGAATATAAATTTGAACTATTCCCACAAGTGATAATATGTTGAAATAAGAGGTATAGTGGTAGGGATGACCCAATCCCCAACTGCCACTCGTCTTCATTTGGCCTATTATCCAGGAAAATATTATCCAGCGTTTACATAGTTGGGTATTGTATTTATTGTTTCAAATTTTTAGGTCAGAAGTAGTCTTTTCTTTGTGTACAATTTTGTTATTCTAAAGGGACTTGTCCCAGAATGGTCGTTTTTTATCTATATATTTATATTCATTTTATTTTATGACTTTCAGGGGGACCATCGCTCTCTCCAACCAGCATGAAAAGTCTATGTCTATGTATAATTGTATAAAAACTGTATAGCACCATTGTGATATTTACTGCTAAAACTTAATGTGTTCCAGAAATAACAGAAAATGTAGTCATTGCTCAAGCATTTACTTTTCTAACCACTGGTCTCGATACAATAGGAATTGGTCAGACATATTTATTGTACGAACTGGCTCTGCAAGCTGATATTCAAGATCGAGTTAGGGAAGAGATTTTTGAACAATGCAAAATTCATGGAGGTTTAAATTATGATAGCCTTAAAGCTATGACTTATTTAGAGAAATGTCTTAAAGGTTAGTTTTTTACTTTTTATTTTATATTAAGTTTATTTTATTTTTTAATTTGGTGCAATGTTGTATCACAAAACTTTCACTTACTTAAATAATTAAATGTCGGCTCAAATAGAGCTAGTTGTATGAAAATTGTATGAAAATTGATCCACATGTTTTAAGTAAAATCAAATCAAAGTTAAATGGCCTTTCAAATATTTTTGTGACTTACCTAATTTTATTCTACATTTTATCCAACCTGAAATATATTTATTACTTCAATACACTTATTTAAATTAAAAAACTGTTGCTCTTTTGTGGTGAATCAGTCATCAAGCCATTTTTATAAGAAGTGGAGCACTGCTGAGCATGTGCATGCCTCATTGTATAGAACCAAGCCTAGTGGGTAAACCACATGTGGTAGGATTTCCCAACTGAATGTTTCAATCGTTTCCTTCACTGCTTTTGGTGTGTGCGATTTTGAGTGTTTCTTCATTATTATGAAGAAAAACATTTTATATTGTCTTTTTTGATATTCTGTTAGTTTTTCACCTAATACTTGATCCATATTGATCATTTCTTGTGAATAGTGTTATGTGTTAATGGTTTTGTAAAATTTTAGTAGCTCATAATAGATAACACTCTTCTGTTCCCAACAAATACAAAGCATTGTCTTCTTTTCATAGGGACTTGGCATTGTAATTAATGTTGATGGTATGCCTGGAGGTATCCATGTTTGATACTTGGGATTTTCAAAATATATCCTATTTCATCACCTGTCACAATTCGATGGAGGAATGACTTTCTTTAGAACCAAGCAAACAGCATTTTGGAGTTATTTTTCTCTTTTTCTTGCTGTCTATCATTTAGTTTGTTTGGAACCCATTTTGATTATTTTCCATGGCTTACAAACATATGGAGACAACTTCTCATGTTACATACAACTGATCTGGGAGTTGCTTTTGGATTTTAGCGTCATCCACATCCAACAATGCTGGCAATTCGCTGTCTTCAAACTATTTCTGTGCTCTACAATGCTCTTCATTTCTCATTCCAAAATCACCACTTTTGAATGTTTTCTAATCACTTAAAGCACTGTAATTCACCAGCAGAATGCTCTCTCTAACCTTTGACTAGTATTCAATGTGATTCTGCTGTAGTTGTCTTTAAATGGTTGCAGAAAACTAATGCTGTCCGTAAATCATAGTTTGTAGGCACAAAACTCAACAATATATTCAACACTATTCAAACAATGCTGTTGTATGAAACTTGTAATGTTGTGAGTTGAAAATCTTTGCCTGCTGTCAAATAAATAAATGGTACCAATAATGGTGTTTAACACATAGTTGTTAAATAGATTCTTAACTAGAGTCTTCTTTTGATTTCATATTTAGACATCTGGTAGATTAGAAGTGTGAAAGTTTTATTGATATTCAAGAGGTAAAATATGTCTGAATATTTCAGTGACATCTATTAAATATTTTGCTCCAAATTCACCAAAGAAATAATACTAATTATAGAATTAAATTGAATGATCTAGTTATGTGTAATAAAAAGCTTTATTTTGTCAAATATATTATTATTTAAATAATATTTATAAAGTTACTGTATTAGTAAGTTGTTATTTATCTATATCTGTTTTTAATTATTGATTTGATTTTAACCTAAAAATTTATAGAATCACTGCGCTTACATTCTACACCTCAGTTATTTCGCATTTGCAATAAGAATTATACTTTTCCCAATGGCTATACAATAAAGAAAGGAGAAACTATTCAAATTGCTGTCAGTGCTATTCATAGAAATCCTGATTACCATCCTGATCCAGAGGTTTTCAAGCCTGAAAGATTTGATAACTTGATGAGGCCAGGTGTTTGGTTGTCTTTTGGTGAAGGACCTCGAGTTTGTATAGGTATGAATAAAAAAATTATATTTTTAAATAGAAACATATAAAGATCACCAATTATTATAAACTAACGTAATAAAGGATTGCTTGATATTAATTAAGTATTTTAAAGACTCAAAATCTAATCGACGATTATTGGAAGAAGTTTAGTATTATATAAATGTTTTACATAAATGATTTGTTTACGAATCAATTTCAACAATTATAAAAAGAAAATTCAGTTTTATTGTCATGTCAATATGTCATATTTCTTCGTATTTTTCTGTTTTATAATTATGCATCTTTTTTTTTTTACATAACCAATTAAATTAAAAGATCGAGTAAATATTTAAAATGATACAATGAAGAATTTTTTTTTCAAAGAATTAGGTAGTGTAATTGTCTTTTGGATTTAATTTGGAGAGGGGCTTTTGCCCGAAAGCTTTTTTTTTTCATATATACAACGATAATTACTTTGAAAAAAAAAGAAAGAATCTAACTACTTTTATGAAATAGTGTTTAAGTGATTCTTGATGTCCTATTAAATGTAATTACACGAACAATAATACTTTAAGAGATAATTCTTAAATATTTTTTTCCATTAAACATAGTTATATTTTACCATTTTACCATTTGGGGAGGGGGGATGAGGGGTTCAGCCCGAAAGCCTTAGATATCTGACCCTCTCACTAATTTAAAATGTAAGCAGTATAAAAATATGTGCATATTTATATTTTCAAAAATATCAAGAAAGTCTTTTCAACCTGTACAATTAATAAAGCTACATATTTTATTCAGACTATGTTGAAGGAACCAGTTTACTCAATTAGTAATTAGCTTGCCACTCTGGAAAATACACTTTCAGTTTAGCACTAAAGCAATGAGACTCAGGTATCCATAAACTTATACTAACCCAGTATTTTACTCACTGAGATTTTGGGTAGGTACAGAAAAGTAGGATCCTTAGCTTGTGGTTACTTATTAAGAGGGAAATATAGAAGTGATACTTGAATGAGAACTTCATCACTGCCATGGAAATATTTACTATCAAGCACAGGTGTATCTACGGGGATGGAAGAGGGGAGGAGATTTCAGGCTGAAGCCTCCCAAAAATGATCAAATGTAACCATGTTTTATGGAAAAAAAATATCTATTAAAGTATTATTGTACGTGTAATTACATTTAAAAGGACTTCAAGATTCACTTAAGCACCATTTAATGTTGGTAGTTAGTATCTTTCTTTTTTCCAGTATAATTATCGTTATGTACATGAAAAAAAAAGCTTTCGGGCTGAAGCCCTCCCTCCTCCCAAAAAAATTAAATACTGGATTCGCTAGTGCTATCAAGAAAACTAAAATATGTTTATTTTTATTTAAAATATCTACAAGTTTTCTTTCTATATTATTTGCAGTACCCATGAGATTTTAGGGCTATTCTTCTTTTTTTTTTTTTAACTGAATTTTAATTTATCATAGTCACACTATAATAAATGTTGTAGAAAATTATTTTATTATTTTTTATTTATTCATTTATTTAATTTATTTATTGTATTTTATTAATGAAAATAATTTGTAAAGTATAAATTAATATAACAATAAAGATGGTAACACTGATTCAGACCAATAAACATTATGGGCATGCTTGGCTCGGCTCTGTTTACTAATACCATCCATTAGAGTAACATTGAATCTCAATTGTTTTTGTTTCAATACCCCACATTTCTATACCAATAATTATTAATTAGTAGGCCCATGAATTATTAAGAAAATAAAATAATGCAACTTATCAAAAGATAAAGAAACTATCTAGGAACTATCCCTGGTCTTGCTATACGCATCAAAATCTTCAAGATCCAATTTGTCCCGTATCGATCTACAGACCTACCACCCTTCCAATATTGAAGCCTAGCAAAATGTTTGTATCAACTTTATTTATTTTAGAAAGAAAAACAAAAATGGAGAATACGATTCGCTAACACCCCGTGATTCCAACAGTACCCCATTCATGCTATTTGAGCATGACAGGAGCTTATATTTGGTACAAAACTGATTTCGAGGCTTACTGTAATAATATATGTGAGGCTCAAACTTTCAAATGTAGGGCTCATTAAGTTTCATGAGAAAATCTTTAACCTGATCTCGAAATCCAGGTCAAAATTTAATAAATCCTATTGGTCCTTCTCAATCTGCCGACTTATCACCTTTTCCAATCACTTTTATTATATGTAATAAATATTTATTATGTATGTATACCATTATGATTATTATTATTATGTATGTATACCATTATTATTATTATTATGTATGTATGATAAAACTATTAGGTATAAACGTGCGTGTTTATATATATATATATATATGTATATATATATATATATATATATATATATATATATATATATATATATATATATATATATATATATATATATATTTTTTTTTTTTTTTTTATAGCTATGAGGTTTGCTCTTCTTCAAGTTAAATTTGGAGTTGCTAGAATGCTGATGAAATACAGATTAAGTATAAATCCTGAAACAAAGCTTCCAGTTGAAGTTCTTCCTCAGTCAGTAGTGTTAGAACCTAAATATCCTATATATTTTGATTTGGAAGAAGTTTCATGATACCAACTGTAAAACAAAATTATATTAAACTAGGTACTTTTGCTTTTTAAAATTTATCTCTTTAGTTTTGCTAACATCTATAAGCTAGGAAATTAAATTGACTTGGAAAACATAAAATTGAACTATGCAGGCCATTAACTGATGAAATGATATATTTAAAAATACTAAAATTGTCAAATTTATTTTTTTACAACTACTTTAAGAATTAATCTTATCAAATTAGAACTAATTAAAAAATAGTATTAGCTAGTCTACAATTTAGTTAATTCATAAAAAATTGTAATGAAAGGTTGAAATACATTCTTTTCACATTGAATGGTTGTTTATATGATAGAAGTTATTTTATATTAACTTTATTAATTTTGAAAATTTTACTTAAATTATTCAATACAAATTCTATTTTCGTATTTCATTTAATGTTACATGAATTGAAGTTTGTACCTTTGGAGTATGAAATAGAGTTTTTGGCTCATACTGGAGTGGTAGTCTAGTTTGAGGACTAAGAGATAGTTCGTAATTATCAAGAATGTGTGCAAAGAACGTAGCTGTTTCCATAATCGCAAAGCGTTTTCCTGAAAATTTTTTGTTCAAAAATATTAATCATATTTCAACCACAATTTTATTCTATTATTAGAGTCAGTTTGAAATTATGTTTTTTTTTTTTTTACTTAACAACATGTAACCTTGGTCTTAACTTAAGAGTAGCTTTTTGTGCAAAAATCTGTTGTTTAGTATATTTACCATCTATCAGTAAATTTCCTTATTTTATTTCTTTAATATTTTTATATTAATTATAGAACATTTTTTCCATTAAAATTTATTTTCTTGTTATTTATTAGTATTTAAATTAAGTTTATGTATTTTTGATGCTAATATATTTTAAATGATTACCAAGACAAACTCGTGGGCCATCAGAAAATGGGAGATGTGCAAATTTATTTTGTTGATTTTCTACATTAAATCTTTCAGGGTCAAACTTATTTGGATCAGTGAAGTTCTTCGGATCCATCTGTATACTGTGTATTGGAATTACGATTCTTGTATTTTTCTTAATTTTAACTCCTCCAAGTTCTGTATCCTTGTCAGTTATCCTAACAAGGAATTGAAGTGATGGATGAAGTCTTAGTGTTTCTACAAAAAAAAAAAAAAAAATGTATTGGTTCCAAGATATGTAAAAATACAAATATTTGTTATAAAAGTTTTAATTTCTATAACCTAATAGACTTTTATGTAATATATTAGCTTGGCATTATTTTTTTTTTTAATTGCTCTCTTTTAGGTACATTGGGTAACAGTGATCTGTATTAATGTTCATAGCCTTTACTTTATCAGATGTGTAAATATGAATATGAGTCATAGATGGCTCAAGTTGTTAATGTAGTTACCATTAAAGTGGATTATTAGCTCCATTTTATTTCAGCTGGAAAATAAAAGATATAAGAAATGTTTTCCATCACTAACTATTCATTTTTCCTGTCACTTTTCAGTAGAAGTTCATTTTTCCTGTCACTGTTGTTTTGTACTTACGGGTTACATTCAATTGATCCCCAAAATGTTGTTAGGTATAAACGTCATTCTCATCCAACAATGCTTACAATTCGCCGTCTTCAGACCTTTTCAGTGGTCTTTCAAGTTCTTAATTTTTAATGTCAAAATCGCCATTTTTGAACTTTTTTAAACCACTCTGAGAAATATCATTTAGTAGGAGCATGTTCTATATAAAATGCGACTAGCATTCAATGTGATTCTGCAGTATTTTTTAAAATAGTAACAGAAAACTAAAGGTGTTCGCAAATTGTAGGTTGTAGGCAAAACTAAACCCATTCAACACTATTAAAATGATGCAATTAGTTTTATTATTCTTCCATTTTTGTGACTTCCAATGACATTAATCCTTAACCAACTTTAACAATGTCAACAATTATTCACCACCATTTTAATATTTTAATGCATTAAATATATATTTTCTAAATTATAAACAAAAATTCCAGGTTCATATCTGGTATGTCTTTTAGCTATCTAATTCGAAGCCTACTTATACTATTTCTAAGCTTCATCATGTCATTTGATTTAATGTTCTTAAAACCTTTTACTTGCCATGTTTTAAAATGCTAGAAAACTACTTTGATTTTCCAAGTTTCACCTTAAACATTTACTGTATAATATAAATAATGTAAAATAAAATTGGACTACAAAATATTCTATTTATTCAGCCTTCAGTAACATCTTTCTCCACATAATTCCTGAACTATTCTTCAATTACAATAATGAGTCAATTTACTGTGGTGCAAGTGTACTAATGTGTTTTATTGTATATTTTTAATTGGAAAAACAAAATTTGTAATAAATTTTAATAGATTATTTCAATGTGAATTTTTATTTTATACATAAGAACTAATAGTTTGTTAAAATAAGGATATAAGTGAGTTAAAAATGATTTTTACTTTGTAGATGACAAATATAATCCAGGTACCTAAACTTGTTACAAAAAACCATGGGACTAAATTAAATAAGATGATAACTTTTCATAGAGATATTTATATTATTATATTTAATAGGTTCATATGCATATCATCAAACCAAAAATATAAAAATAAATAAATAGATAGTTTAATTAAACTTTTCCTGTTAATACCTACCTAATATGCACTGCTCCAAGTATTTCATTTCTCTCACAGCTTCCCAAGAGTAGCCATTAAATTTTTTCAAAACACTTCTCACTTCTTGACGGGCTTTATCTTGACAATACTTCGACTTAGAGAATTCAAATGCTAAGTGAAGAATTAGCAATGATACTGTGTCTAATCCAGCAAAGAAAAACATAAAAGCCTGGGATAAAGCAATTTCATTAGTCATGTCTGAAAAAAAAAGAGATCCTTTATGTAATTTTATGGTAAGTAATATTTTAGATACAACTGTAACCATTTCATATTACTTTTATAGAAATATTAAATATTAATGAAATAAAAGGTTTATTTTGAATTTTATATCAAATCAGTAAAATTAGAAAACATTTAAATATGAAAATTTAATTTTTACATTTGGAAGATTGATTACTGAGGAGATGGATGAATAATTGGTGCTTAGAAGAAGTTAAAGAAGAAGTTTTGCATATGGAAGTGGGCAAGGAATTTCAAAACGGGATAGCTAGCAGGAATGCATAAAGGAAGCAGTTTTATGAGAAGGAATATACAGGTTTATGGGTTGGGATCTCTTGTTTCAAGAAGATAAGTTATAATAAAATTAGCATGTTTTTTTATTGTAAAGATTTGGAAAGGGAATACACCTACGAAGAATTGCCATCAGAAAACTGGATAGAGCCTCTTCAACTTGGTATACCAACTAGCGAAGTGGGAGTGACAGAGAATACCCTGAAGATGAATCTAATTAAAATAATTCATTCATGGAATCAGATCGAAGAAACTTATTTCAAGCCCACCAGACAGTCCACTATATACAGGGCAGCCATAATTAAAGTAGGTAAAAATAAGAGAGGAAATTAGAAGCTAGCGGGTTTTTAGACGAACTAACAACTTTACTTCAAGACAAGAACATTGACGTAGCCCTAATTTCAGAAATTCAACTGACCATAAAACAGAACTTAAGAATTCCACTGTACATAACATACCATACTAACCATCCTGACGGTAGAGCACATGCCGGTACTGCTGTCATTGTACACCAATCCCTCTCTCATCACTTACTCCCATTACCTACTCAAGATTTCCAACAGTCAACCGCTATTGTAATCAAAACCTCTTATCCAGTCACCCTTGCATCAGCATATTTCCCTCCTAACAGATCCATATCCAAAGTCCAGTTCAATTCTATCCTCAACTCCGTGGGTCATCATTTCATCCTAGGTGCAGACTTAAATGCCAAATATCAAGAATGGGGTTCAAGAACCACGAATTCTCGTGGCAGAACATTTTTGTTTGCACTCAATTCCCAACTTTTCAGTCTTCTTCCACCCAACTCACCAACCTAGTGGCCCACTGATCCTAATATCCTGATATCCTTGATTTTTTCATCCTCAGTGGTTTAGGTCCCCTCAATCATTCCCTTACCCGTCTTGACGAACTTTCCTCAGCTCTTAGTCCATTAATACTTCAATTATCAATAGCTCCTATTCCTAAACCCCCTTCACCGTCCTCCATCAGAGGCCCAGTTAACCGGAAACTCTTTCATCAAATCCTTTCCGATAAAATTGACCTCAGAATAACCCTGAAAATTCCAGAAGACCTAGATAATGCCGTACATTCCTTTACCACCATTATTCAGAAAGCAATCTGGACTGCTTCCTCCACAAATCTCTCCTCGAAATCCTTCCTCGAAAATTTCTAAGAAAAATAATTTACCTCAATACCTGCTAGACCTAATTAACATCAAACATCAGACAGAATATTGAAATGAAATGAAATGAAATGAAAAAAATGTTTTATTATTCTGGGACTGTTGTCCCTTAAGAACAAAATATGAATACAGATTATATGTCTGTGTGGCTACAATTGAATTGTATATTTACAATGAAAGTTGACTTACGATAAAAATACAGAAAAGAGAAAAAAAAAGAACAAGTAAATTGTACATATGTATGAGAAACTAAAATAACCTTAATAAATTGAGGTACTCTCTGGTGGTGCTCAGATATTTCTCTGAGATATATTTCACAATCATTCGGATTGAGAAAGGAGTAGGTGCTTAAAGAGGAGTGGTTTAAACGAGGAAACTGATTGAGCGTGTCGAATATCAGGTGGGATGGAATTCCAGAGGGAGGCGGCTTGTATTGCAAAGGATTTGTCAAACGCAGCAGTTCGGTGAGGAGGAGGATAGAGGTCGGAAGTACGAGATCTGGTGGGACGGGATTGGATGGAATATTTGAATTGTAAGCTGTGAAAAATGTAGGAGGGTCGATGGGTTCTAATAATTTGGTACAGAAAGGTGGCTAGGAAGTACTGACGGCGATAGGATGGGTAGAGCCACCTCAACTCAGTGTAATACTGGGTAATATGCGTATCCCTTGAGATTCCGAAAACAAATCGTAGTGCGCAATTCATTAGGCGTTTAAGTTTGGCCTCGGAATCTCCCGGGAGTCCACCGTACACCATACAGCCGTAGTCGAAGTGGGGGAAAACAAGGGAGGAAACTAGGAGTTGACGGGACTTATATGGAAGGAGATATCGTAGACGATTGAACTGTTTTAGGGTGGAGATAGTGCGACGGGAAATTTGGGAGATGTGAGGTTTCCAGGATAGGGATTGATCGAAAGTAACACCTAGGTTTTTAACGGTGGTGTAGAATAAGATAGGTGAGTTGTTCAGGAAGAGATTGGGAGATACTGGGGAGGATTTGAGGAGTGAAGGGGATCCGATCAAGATGGCTTTTGTCTTCTCGGCGTTCAGAGTGAGCCTATTGAGGTTTGCCCAAGCACTTATTCTGTCAATATCTTCCTGAAGTTTTTGAGTGGCATCTGAGATATCTGTCGGATTAAAGGAGAGGTAAATTTGAATGTCGTCGGCATACAGGTGGTAATGACAGTGCAGGATAGAGGATGGGAGGTCATTTATATAGATGGAGAAAAGGGTGGGGGATAAGGAAGAGCCTTGTGGGACGCCTCTGGTCAGAGGTAGAGATTCTGATGGTGGGTTATTAGGAATTACAACGTACTGGGAGCGAAATATTATGGCAACGTTTAGGACACCCCACCGATCGCCGCTCTTATAATTATTTCACTAAACGATTAAAGCAGGAATTGGCCGCCTTCAAATCCCAATCCTTCAACTAATACCTTTATCCCCTCTCTGTTCACGACAATTCTCTATGAAAGATCACCAAAAAAATTCTTAAATCCCATATTTCCCATCCCCTCCGTCGATGCAATAGCTCCTGGGCATCGTCTATTGAAGACAAAGCTGAGAAATTCGCCAGACACCTCTTCAGAACATTCACCTCACATCGGAAATCCAACCCCACTCATACCACAACAGTAGAAGAATTCCTTACATCACCCATTCCACTTTCCTTACCCCCGAAAGCAGTTAATTCTGAGGTCAAACATCACTTACAAAAAGTTCCTCTCCGTAAATCTTCTGGATACGACCTCCTTACCTCTCAAATCCTTCGACAACTTCCTCCTATAGCTGTTATATTTCTCACTTACTTATATAATATCATCCTTAGAACCACCCACTTTGATCTTTTGTGGAAACATTCCACTATTATCCTACTTCTGAAACCAAGAAAAACCTCCCATCACATCGACGTCCTGCAGACCAATTGGCCTACTTCCAATCCTCTCAAAAATCTTTGAAGAGATCCTCCTGAAACGTATCATACTCTTTATAAAATCCCAAAATCTTCCAACAAGGACTCCGTGTGGTCGATCAATATTTCCGCAGCACTGGAAAGCAAGCAATATTGCTCGAGTGCATTTCTGGACATAGTTCAAGCTCTTGACCGGATATGGCACGCCGGGCTTCTTTCCAAGCTGAAAATCCACCTACCCCAGTCCTTGTACATAATCCTGTGCTCCTACCTCTCTGATCGCACCTTTCGCTGAGGTACAGAATTTTCCAACTCCTACACAGTTGAAGCCGGTGTTCTTCAAGGTAGCGTCTTGGGCCCCGTCCTTTATATCCTTTTTACCGCTGATATCCCTGTCCATTGCAATACCTTCCTGGCAACATTTGCTGATGACACCGCCATCCTATCATCCAACTCAGATCCCGAAATAGCATCTTTAAATCTGCAAAGGCACCTCTATCTGATTGAGCTCTGGTGTAATAAATGGCGCATAAATGTAAACGAATCCAAATGCAAACACATTACCTTCATACTCCGGCGCAGATCCTGTCAGGAGATTTCCATCTGAATCCTTGCAGGAGATGACTCTCGGTTTAAAAACCGACTTTCCTTCATTCTCCTTCTGGAAGAATAGCCTACTTTCATGTAGAGGTCTGTGGGTCTCAATGTCCTGAGAACATTCTGTTGTTCTCCCATGTTCTTTTCTTTATGCGGTGGATCTTCTTTTCCTCTTTCTCCTCTTCCCTTTTTCTGTTTCTACAGTCTTCCTGTGATCGCCGCATCTTCTTATATGCCTCGTTCTTCCGAGTTGTGCATTGTAGGCAGTCATCGTCGAACCACGGTGTCCTCGCCTTCCTTGTTTGAGGTCCGAGCGTCTCCTTCGCTGTATCTTTGAGAGCTTCGGCTATTCCTGCCCACTGATCAGCCACTGTCTCGGCTCTCTCTCAACTCCTCCGCGAGTTTAACTTCCAATCGCTGCCGGTAATTTATGCACTGTTCCATGTCTTGTAGTAGTGGATACATCATATTTCTGTTGGGCTGGACCAGCTACAACATTTCTTTTCGTTGATATTCCATGGCGGATCCTGGCGATGCTTAAGGAATGATCCGAGTCGACGTTTGCGCCCCTGTAGACTCTAACTCCTATGACTGTGGAAACTAGATTTTGAGTGAAAACAAAACGGATTGGAAGGAAGATTTAGGGATTCAAATGGATAAGATTTGTTTATCAATATAATGATACAACAAGAGTACGTCCAAGTGAGGTGGTCACTTTCCTTGATGTCAGATATGAAAGATCATTAAAAGTCACCCTTCTATTAATCTAAGGACTATCTGTAAAATTGAGAGGCCCAATGTCTGAAAGCCTTAGCCATTTTCTGTGGCATATGGTACTGACCGTTTATAAACATATGGTTCTAGGATATCTTTATAAATATCTTTATACATATATCTACAACTTGTAGGTATGTGTCCCCGGAGTGGAATCGGAAAATTGGAAAAAGTTGGTGACTATCCAGAAAACGGCTCTGTTGCGAGTCACCAGAGGTTACAG